ATACAACATGCAAGAAATGCCTTCAGAAGTAGAGTTGCCAGCAAGCCTAGTAACAGATCCTTCTGTTGCAGATTCTCAATCTCAAGCTCTAGGATTGCAAGATATTGTTGAAAGGAATGAGCTTATAAATGGATATTTTTCGACTTTGTAAGAGGAATTCAATATTATTGACGAGTTTTTAGTATCTAATCTATACTAATATTATAAAGAGGTAAAGTTTTTATCTTTGTTTGTTTGCAGGGGGTAATCTTCGCAAATACTGATCTGATCATGAAAATTCTTTCACTAACAGAAAGCTACACTATTCAGGAGTGAGGCTATATTTTATTGTTATTGAACAAAAACTTCAGTGAAAAATATTTTTATATTTGCATCACAAAAAAAACGCTCACGAAGTGTTAAAAGTAAATAGTATAAATTATTTTAATGTTATTAGTATCTATTTTCTAATTAATAATATTTAATTTCCTAATTTGTCAGTAATATTTAGTTGTTATTATTTTAATGAACTAATTTTGTAACCTTAGTTGTTAAGCATTGTATATTTTTAAAGGTTTTTTTAATATTATCCATAAATGTTATTTTGCATTTTCATTTACTATGACTTTAATGTTCTGTATTACCTATAATTAAGGTACTACTCTATCTGATTTGTGTGTATGTGTTTAGTATGTACTTTGTTAGTGGTCAAATAAATAAATATTTTGTTTACTTAAAATACTGTGTTTATTTTTACATTAAAACAAGCATGTATTATCAAATATATTTATTACCTAGAAATATAACACAAAATACAATTAAAAAAGGAATACATAAAAAAAACATTTTTACACTCGCAACTAATTATTATTCTACAAACTTAAATCTAAATACAAAATATAATCAAGTAAAATAAAAATAATAATAAATATATCGGAGATCAGAAGTGAGGAGAGGACGACGGAGGGTCGAACTCGTTAATTAACAATGTAATTTAACAAAAGATAGTTAATTCAATGGACTCACCGAGCGGGCGCCGGGTCTATCGCGTGGCAGAGGGACAAACTCAAGAGCAGTGCCCGGGACTTGCGACCCCGGGTGTAGGTTTAAGGAGGGCCCTCCTGACGATGCGCATCGGCGCTCACCGTTCACTGCTCGAGTTGCTCACGCTGTCTAACTAAATAAGCAACAATTAATTCGCGTACACAGACTAACTATTAGAAGAGTCGAGGTTAAGCTACTAGCAGGATACACAGGTGCACCGTGCCACGCCAGAGCTAAGACTGCCTTAGCCGACGACAGAATGACTCGAATAATAGAATGAGTGAGGGTAGATGAATATCGACAACATCGCAGGTACCGACATTAATAACTATCTGCATTGATTCACCGACAAATATTTAATTTAACTTTTATCTTTTTGCAAATTATCTATCTCTAGTTGTAATTTTTTTTTTCTAGTAACACCTTTTCCAAGTTCTCCTCTAATAACTTAGTTTTCGCTGTATAATAATTTGCTATTGCTTGATTCCTGGCAGAACGGTTTTCATCACCCTTGGAGAAGAGTTTTCTTTTGGAACCTGTAGGAGTTCAGAGTTTTAGTATCATTATGAATTGTTAATGACTTACACCTACTCTCTTTAACACTCTAACTTTATGTAAATATCTAACGTAATGGGTTAGCAAGAAACCTCTATTACAGCCCCCTTAAGTCCAAGATTTCAATAATAGTTATAAGCAAATATCATGCAATCAATCAAGATTACTACTTGTTCTGCTAGCCATCCGATCATAGTTATTAAAAAAAGTTGAGTTGTCGGGTCTGCACCTCTATTTAAGAAGGTTTAACTAAAAATTATACTGTAATATAAAAAAGCAGATAATACAATACCACTAGCTCTAGGAGTGAATAAATATTTCTTTAGTTTCTTTGCTGAACACTCTCCTGGGTCTTCTTCTTCATTCAATACGTTGTTTTGTAAAATTTGGACTCCAGGAGATATGGAGCTGGCGTCTAATTTTAAAATTTGTGATTCTAAAACAACATCACCCCCAATACCACTACCATCACCATCACCAATGGTAACATTAGCAGAAGCCCAGTTTGTTGGCTCCAGCACAAGTTCAGCATCGCCACCATATTCAACAGTGAAACCATCCACCGTATTGCCTAACAAAGTAGCTACCTTGTCTAGGACTTCATCTGGAGGGATGTAATCTGGACCACCACCACCAGTCTTAAAAAACAAGATAACTTTATAAACTTAACCATAACCATGTAAGAACCATACAAAACAGTAAAGCAAGTACCTAAATATATAATCTATAATACAAGATACTGACCTTAATGTTGTTCATCCTAATTAATGTATTGCGTTTGCGAGAATTTTTTTTTAAATTTTCCCACTTCAAACGCAGTTGTTTCTGTGTACGGTGGCATGTAGTAACAACGGCATTAAATTGGTCGGCGATGCGTTTCCATTCCTCCGTTTTCATTTTGTTGGTGGTAGCATTGGTAGCTTTATTGCATATTATTTTGCTGCTTTCTATAAAAGACAGCAAAGTCATTGATTCATCCTTCGTTAGGGGCTTCGTTGAAACCTTAAACAGAAAACAAGAATAGGCGCGAAATGTAGCATCTTCACAGCGGGTGGTCGGGCACGCTCGGTTCGACCAACAAAATATGTACTATAAATCTTAATATATTTTGTTATCACTCACCTGACTACTTTCCATTAAAAATGAAATCGTCAATGTATGTATCAAATAAACAAAGGTACCAGTAGATATATAAACACAAGAAAACAAGCAAAGAGCGCGGTCCATTCCGAAGAGAGTTCTTTTCAAGTTCTTTTCTTTCGATTGATCTTTGTTTGAAGTTGACATCTGACAATTGACAACTTCACGTACGTTACGTTCCGATCTCAAACTAAGTAAATTTTATGTTGTGTTTTTTCATTAAATAAAACATTATATATTTAGAAAATTCTAATATAATCTAGTGTTTAAAGTATATTAAATGGGAATATCAATATAAATAAATAAAAAAGTTATCAAATGCTCTCAAATTATAATACGCAATCACATAAATACTGATTAGAATGGAACGCACGGGAGGGTACAGATTGATCTCCAAACGCTCGTCGAAACTCGATCGGCGATTGAAGATCGTTGTATTGAAACGCAGATCGAGGATCGATCGAGAGAAAGAATTCTATCTCGGATTGCCACGATCTCTAGATCGAAGTTTGAATATTGGAATCGGCCGTAAAAAACCAAGAGTCTCACAAAAAGGGCAGTCATGTTTGGTTTACAGATGGATCCAAGAAAGGATTTGACATGAGTGTCAATCTGGGCAAGGAGGCCACCATCTTCCAAGCCGAGGTGTTCGCCATCAACAAATGTGCTGAAGTCATCCTGGAGAGAAAGCTTAGAAACCAAAATATCTACATCAACTCAGATAGCCAAGCAGCACTTCTGGCTATAGATTCTCTTGAGACCAACTCTAAGTTGGTCAAAGACTGTATGGATAATCTGAATGTCCTGGGCACATCCAACAGAGTTACCCTCAGATGGGTCCCGGGTCACTCAGGCATAGATGGGAATGAAAAGGCTGATGCATTGGCAAGAAGGGGCGCTGAAACCCCAGATTGTGGCCCAGAACCATTCTGTGGCATTGCAAAACAACATGCCTATTCAATTCTCAAAATTAACTGCAATCGCCAAGCACTTCAAGAGTGGCAATCCACTTCTGGACAAATACACTCTAAAGCGCTAATTAAGGGATATCGCAAAAAGTTTACAAAAGAGTTGCTTCAACTCAACAAGTATAAAACCAGTGCAGTAACCAGAATACTTACTGGTCACTGCAAACTCGGCCTCAGTCAGACCGCAATGTGCAGACTATGCCATGAGACAGAGGAAACTGCTATGCACATCCTCTGCTCGTGCGGTCCACTCATGCACCGCAGAAGTATCTATCTAGGGCAGCATATTATGCAACCAGAAGAGATACAGATGCTCCCCGCTCAGAAAATCTGGAAGTTCCTGGAGTCAACAGGACTAAGCGGAGAACTTTGAACTCACTATAAAGGGAGCTACAATGGACCAAAACTGGTCGACGTAGCTAGGGCCGACCTCGGCACCACACCCAACACTAATAATAATAATCGTATCAAGTGGATTTGAGCTTACGGTCCTCTACGGTGCCTTTCAGCACGCCACTTGAGCGACCCTAGTTTTTATCGATATTATGCGGCAAGTCAAATAAGAGTCCCAAACAGATGTTTTCAATTTTACATAATAACTAATCAATATCGTATACGTGTAAGTTTAATTAAGAAAATAGTAGTGTTTTTTCTCAAAGTAAGTATAAATTAATACAGTGATCGGTTTATTGGCTGTGCGTTGTTTTTATAAACAATACAAACTTTTATTATTTATTACACTAAAAAAGTAATAAAAAAATACATAGACAATGACGTGGACAAAGGTGGACTTATCTCTATAAGAGATCTCTTCCAGTCAACCCATGTATGTGGGAAATAGTGTTAAGTAGCGGGACAGAAAGAGAAAGTGCAAAGAAAAGAAAATAAAATCGTACTATCTGACAATAAAATATTTCAATTTCTATTTTGTTTAACTTTTTCTTGTATTTTAAGTATGTGCTTGATTGCAGTTACTTTTTGAGTAAACAAGGTAAAAATGAACAATTTGTACTTAATTTAATTTTATCATATTTTAGATGCCTGCGAGAAGAAAAATATCCCCGAGGCAAATGGATATACTTCTAGAGTTTGCAGAGTCTAAAACTTTTCTGTATAACTATGGAAATCTTTAACAAAAGAGGTTTTACATGCATTCAATTAATTAGAAACAATTTTCTACGTATTAAAAAGTACTGGCAAGTAAAATAAAATGTGCTATAAATAAATAAGAAAGACTTTTTTGTAATTTTAATGAATTGATATTGATGTAAAATTGTTTAAATTGGTTATTCGTGATAAATTTTATACCGTAATATGGCAGACAAGACCATTATCGCTGGTAATATAGTGACTCTTCTTCAAGAAGGTTGTACTCAATGTTATGTGTCGGAACGGTTTGGTGTCAGTCGTTCCACTGTTCAGAGGACCTGGACTCGGTTTCAAGAAACCGATTCTTTGAAAAAAAGACCGGGATCAGAAAGAAAACGATGTACTGAGCCCAGAGACGATCGATATATTGTGAGCCAATCTTTACGAAATCGGAAGTCTACTTACAATAACATCAAAAACAATCTTAAAGATGTTAGAAATGTGAGTGTTAGCGTATGGACTGTCAGGAGGAGACTTCTAGAAGTCAATATACACAATCGAAGACCAGCTAGAGGTCCTAAATTACTTCGTGGGCACCGTATTGCAAGGTTAAGATTTTCCCAAAATTGTGCGACGTAGACGGATGTAGAATGGAGCAAGGTTTTATTTTCTGATGAAGCCAGAATCTCTTTATTTGGCTAAGAAAACCAGGAGAACGTTATGCAGAGGTATGTTTTGAAGAAATTACGCCGTACGGTGGGGGCTCTGTCATGTTTTGGGCTGGCATAACTTCTGAAGATCGTACAGAGTTAGTTTTCGTAGAAAATGGCTCTCTAAATGAACAACGCTTCATCACGGAACTCTTAATTCCTCATGCACAACCAGCGTTAGCTGTTACAGGAAGTGCTGCTGTGTTTATGGACGACAATGCTCGAGCACACCGAGCGGGCGACGTAGACGCTTACTTAAGTGAAGTCGGGATCCGCCGTTTAGATTGGCCAGTACGAAGTCCTGACCTCAATCCTATTGAGCATCTATCGGACTTTCTAAAACGACGTGTTAGAGCTGTACACCCAGCCCCACAGAACATCCGAGAGCTTAAAATTGCTATTACGGCCGAATGGGAGCGTATTCCTCAAGTACTCATAAAAAAACTCGTCCAAAGCATGCCACGAAGAATTGCAGCAGTTATTTCAGCCAGAGGAGGCCACAATCGATATTAATTTTTTATTTTCTTGTTTGTAACTTTTAGTAAATAAAGGAGAAAGTCAATTGAAGTTACCTTATTTTTTTATCAAAATGAGTATTTTCCTAAAAATCTAAATAAAGCTAATTAAGATCGACTTAATTACCAAACAAAAGAGTTTTTACATGAGTAAATAATATTTATTTTATATTGTTGCATCAAATCCCTTTTACAACTGTTAATACTAGAAGTACTCGAATAAATCAAAAGTGCCCGTTTTTTTTGCAAAGGAGTGTAATTTATAATAATAAGTAGGTATCAAATAAAATTTCAAACATTTTACAGATACCTACAGCAGAAGGGACTCAGCCTCCAGGTACCTCAGAGGATGTACCAGCCAGCCCCAGTATAGCTTCACCTCTGCCACATTCCTCGGCTCCTTATCCCGATATTATATCTCCAGAACCTCCAATGGATGTGGAATGGCTTGAATAAGAAGTTCCATCTCCATTAGGAGTTCCATTCTCTGAGCCTTCATCCTCAAACTCACTTCTCCCAGACACAGAGCCCCCTGTCCCAGCCACAGAGCCCCCTGCCCCAGCCAAACATACTATACAGTCAGTCAATCCACCTGAAGTTGCATCACCAAGAGAAGAAAGTAAGTATAAAAAAAGACACTTTTGTCTTACTTTGCATAGATTCTTTATTATTATTATAAAAAAAGAGGAAAAAGAATTTTAAGCTTTGTTTTTGAAATAACATATTGTTTATAGTGTAGTGATATTTTGTTTCGTTACAGTTTTTAAAATAATTGCACGTAGCCTACTTTTTTTTCCTTGTATTTTTGATGCATTATTAATAATAAAAGTACCTGCAGGGCTATTGCGTATCTCAATTGACAGTCATAGTGAAGATCACTAGACTTAATGCTCAACGATGAACTGTCAAACAGCCAGTTTCGTATTCGCTAACGTCAGTGACCAACTGGGATGATGTCATAGGCACAGAGCCTCATTGATAGTCACCGTAACATATTTTGACAAGTGTTTATGTATCGATAAAGTTTAAGTTGCGATTCTGTAAGCATAGTTGACATCATATTAATAGTCATTAGATACTATCTACTTTTTTTGAAAAACACAACTCAAGAGCAGTGTTTTACGGATTCAAGGTGATTATAACTGTAATTTTAATACATACACTTTGTGTACTTGCTAACACGGAACATTAGGCTACATGGATTTGCAGTGTGTGTGGAATTGTTTTTTATGTTTTTCTTTGTTATAAGTAAATTTGTGAACATAATGGCGCGCGCTTTCTTATTGGGATATGCGGAAGAAGAACGTAGACGTAATATTCTACGAATTGAAAGACGCCGTCTGCGCGACGCTAGTGATCCATTGCAGTTGCCAGAGAGAGAGTTCATTGGACATTTTCGTTTAACAAAACTTGGATTCCAACAGGTTTTGGTGGAACTTAGTCCTCGTCTACCAATAGTTAGACGAAATACAGGTGTTTGCAATGAACTCAAAGTAAGTAACACTGTTCATTTACTTTGACCTGTCTTTTGCTTTTTAACATTAGGTATTTGATATCCACTTGTAAATTTATATTTTCATTTACACTGTTACTATAACTGACTGATGATGATTTTGTCTTTCTATTGTAGATTTTAGCAGCATTAAATTTTTATGCGAATGGATCCTATCAACGGAATGTAGGTGCATCATTTCTACTGAACATGTCGCAACCAACATTTAGTAAATGTCTACATGAGGGAACTGGTGCACTCAATACCTGCGAAATCCTTAGGAAGTACATAAAGTTTCCTATGACACAGCATGAAAGGAAAATAATTATGAAAGAGTAAGTTTAAATTTAAATAGTGTTACAATAATTATACTTAGTAGATACATACCTACCCAAGTAGCCTAAAACTTTGAATTGTTTTTTTTTTCAGTTTTATGAAGAAATTTGAATTTCCAGGTGTTATAGGTTGCATTGATGGTACACATGTGGCTTTAATCCGTCCTAAGGAGCATGAGGAGACCTATTTTAATAGAAAGAATTACCATTCTTTGAATGTTTTAGTAGTAAGTGTATTATAATTAGTATTGTAAAGTATAGAATTACATAACATTAAAATAAAAGATTGTTTCAGTAGTGAGTTGGTACCTGCACAATTTGATAGAACAAACTTTGTTTTGATTTCAGACCTGTGATGCTAAACTGACCATCCTCCATGTTGATGCATCTCATGATTCATATGTTTTTGTTTCAGTGCCTCGTCATTGTTAAAGAGGCACTGTGTCACTTTCGGGGTGCGCGAGTTTGTCCTCTTCAGCACGGACAATGCAGCATCCGCGACTTCCTGCTCCGCACGAAGCTGCATCTCCTGTCTCTTGGCCTCGTTAAGGGCCTTTTTTGCCTCCGCTAGGCCTACGTTCTCCCCAGTTGTCGGGGGCCGACAAAACAGCGAAAGAGAGAAACTAAGCTTAAATTGAAAACAAAAGTGAATACATATAAAGAAGCTCAATTATTAATGAATGCTTTCACCGAATACCTTAAAAAATGTGGTGTCCGTTGTGATGGTATTACTGATAAGAAAGCGATATTGTTATCTGAAACATTGCATCAATCAGCTTTACAAGAAAGAATCCGTTTGTTAAGAGCTGTATCATACAATTATGATGTAGCTATGCTATTAAAATCAGATGTAGAAGCTGAGGCAGATCTCAATGATTGTAAGACAAAATTAATGCATTTTGAAAAAATAAAGTCTGTGGAAGATAAAGAACTCTTAACAAAAATTAAATGTTATGAAACTTTAAGAGACATTAGTGCTCTTGAAGATGAAATATTTCATATGCGGTTTGATTCACGAACACTTGAATATCATGGAGTTGATTCTCTAAAATGCAATGATTCTAGTTGGAACAGAAATAGATATTTACTAAATGGAGCAGGAAAATCTTGTCAAAACAAACTTGTCTCACCGGTAGAAGGTAAAGGTGAGTGTACACAAAGTAATGAAAATGTTTGTTACTCTGGACTGCATGATGAGTGTGCCATAGGAAACAATCCTGTTATTGAAAAGAAAGGCATAATATATTCAAGGTCTGCAATTAAAAAGAATCAAGTATGTTGTACTCTGGATTGTTTCTCCAAAAAGCAATTATATATCAGCTTAACCGATCAACCTTTTTGCAGTACTTGTATAAAACCATATTTTGGGTTACTATGGCATAATGATTGTGCTGTAAATTTGTCCAATGAACCAACACCGTTGGATGACCTTAAAATTTATTCGTATGTTACTGTTTTTAATATTAATGGGAAAACCTTTTCATGTAGAAACCTTTATAATTTCGAAGCGTGTTGTGGTGGAAAAGGACCTGTTGCAAGTGGAAACAAGGTGGATTATATGGATAAATTAGGCGCTTGCAAAATATCGAAGACTGGCAGTTTTACAAATTTAATCTTTAAATTGAGGTCGCTAGTTGATGATTTGGTTGAAACCCGAAAATACACTAAAGTTTTTTTAGTTATAGTTTGCTTATTCATATTCCCCAGATTCACTGTAATATGTCTTGTGACTCTGATATGGTTAACTTACGCGACAGCTTCATGTGAGTTAAATGACATGGTACCTCTTCCAGTCAATTCTAAATCTTATAATAAGGATTTAAGTTGGCCTGTTAGAGTTAGATTGACAAAAGGCGACTGTATCGACGCAGGCGATTACACACTCGAAGTTGTAAACATCAAACGGTTAAGTTCCTATAAGTTTTTATCTAGCATGCCTTACAAAATTAAGTCAGTATGCTCAGGATTTGACTGGGGTTGTCATCTAGGTAAAGGTAGTTCAATTGTTCACGAGAAAGACAATTGTGAAAACGCATGCACTCATGGTATTTTTTATAAACACACTGCAATACAGTCTTACTTTGATGGATCATCTTGTGCAATTTTATCTGGTATACATACAAAATTGACTGCTTGCTTCTCTGCTGGTAATTTAGGATCAGAAGTAAAAATCTTTTCAAGGTTATCTGTAGAAAGTAGTGTCAAATTACAAACCATACGTCACAGGCAAGGAGTAGATCTATTAACTGAGATAGATATGGATGATAATAGTACACTACTCATCAGTGAACCTTCTAGAGATTCAAATATATGGCCTTATATGGTTGCTATTAGGGGTGGTGATAGGTTCTGTAGTTACGACGCAATAGATATATCACGCTATTGTCACACAGCTGACCGACATGATCCACTCAATATAGAAGTTTCGTGTCTAGAACCAATACCACATTGGAATCCTGACACTAAAAGGTATGAGCTAAGCTATAAGAGTAACGATTTTGAAAGCTTGGTTCATAATTACTTTGAAAAGTGTCCATCGGATATGTTGATCGATTTCTCTGATTATAAATTAACTGTTGGCATAAATTCAGATTCTGTAGCAACTTTTCAATTCAAGCGGTTTGATACTGCTAAAAGTTTGTCTAAATGTATTAAAGAACCTACAATTGCAGTTGAAAAGGGAGTTATCGATTACCATCAATCAACCATATTAAAATTATTATCTAAAGATTCTAAAAAGTGTGTAGCCCACGTGGTCATAGAAGGTTGTGAATCAACTCAAGGTCAACTCTTCGTATTGAGACCAGGCGTGGAATTGGTAACTGATTACTGGTGCGCTAATAACAGCACCGGATTGATAATTGTAACTGGCGTTAGTGTCTATAAAAAAAAAGAAATAAAATTCGCTGTTTTGTCACCTACATCAACTTGGAGGAAAATGTTCATATCGTAATGAAGACATAATAGCCGACATTAACAACTGGGTTAGTCCCAGGGAAGACTCATTCAACAAGACTTGGATAAATGCAAAACTTAACAAGCTTTTTACCTTGTGGGGAGAGCCCAGCGCTACATTTCTTACTCCCAAAGAATATTACAATGATCCAATCCGCTGGGGAACCAGTGGGGGGACGCCCGGGTCCACCTTGCTCGGTGAAGAATATAGAACAAAGTGGGGATGGGCATTTTCTCAGATGGTTGAAAACGACGGCTCATTTAAACAAGATTACGATTTATACGCAACGGCACTTGAGCAGAGCTCGCGTGCAAAGGTTGCTCTGAAGGAAGAGGCCAGCAAAACCCGGCCGATAATAACCACCCCAATGGACTCAAAAAGATGTAGCCTAACTTATCTTATAATAGCAATTAATTAAATTATTATGTTAAAATATAATATTTCTAATATAGATGTTATAATATTTCTAATATAGATGTTCCGTAATACTCCTTCTCCCGGAATAATACTTTAACTTGAAGGTGACCCGCGCGAGGCGTGAGCGCCGCGCTCCACGCCACACTCGACAAATGCTATTGCAACGCGAAGCCCGGGTCGCTTGTAATTACGCCACTCATTTATACGTACTCGTTAATTGCTATATGTTAATTTTCTATCGTCTTAATATTTACTAGTATTCGTTTATGTCTTTAACTCTTTTATTGTATGTGCTCTTGGACTATTAATGTGTGTTATTAACTGTCTCTTCTGTGTATTGTGCTTAATTAATACAATCAGTTTAAAAGACTTAGTTTACGTTATTTTTCCTTCTACAACTACACACATCACCAAGTAAGCCTACAACTGGTGACCCCGACGACCAAGATAAGGAATTTAACGGTGAGGGAGAATATATATATTAAGAATGAGTGAGGAAAAAATTAACATACATGAAAGCAAAGAAGAAATATGGCGAGTCAGCGTGCGAGTTCCGCCATTTTGGCCAGAGGAACCGGCGTTATGGTTCGCGCAGGTGGAATCTCAGTTCGCTTTATCCCGCATTACTACTGATGAGACCAAATTTTACTATTTAGTAGCACAGTTGGATCATCAATATGCCGTTGAGGTTAAAGATATTATTACAAACCCACCCTTAACCGATAAGTATTTGAAATTAAAAACTGAGTTAATGAAACGGCTCTCAGCTTCTCAGGAGAAACGAGTCAAGCAACTGCTGATGCACGGGGAACTGGGTGATAGGAAACCATCGCAATTTTTGCGTCACTTATGTAGTTTGGCCGGCCCTTCAGTTCCATCTGATTTTTTACTAACCCTTTGGTCTAGTAGGTTACCACAGAACATCCAGACTGTGATCGCTACACAAATGGACCTTGACAAGGACAAATTGGGAAAACTCGCTGACAAGGTGTATGAGATTGCACCGTCATCGCCGCAGGTAGCAAGCGCCTCTTCAACTCAGATGCCAGGGTACAGTGACATGGCTCAGCAGATTTCGGAATTAACCAGGCAAGTATCTTTGCTTACTACTAGACTAGAAAAATCTGAACGGTCACGGGCGACGTCAAGACAAAATAGGTATAATCGATCACGCAGCCGTTCCAAACCCAAGCAACCCCCGCCAGATCACCCTTACTGTTACTATCATTTTACTTATGGTGAGCAGGCAAGGAAATGTAACTTCGATTCGGGAAACGCCAAGGGCGGTCGCAAGTAGCGGCCCACGACTGCCCAACAACAACAGGCCGTCTGTTTGTTACCGATCGTGTAACGAAGATGCAATTCTTAGTGGATACTGGTTCCGACCTGTGTGTCTTCCCGCGGTCAGCTAATCGGATGCCCTGCACCAAATCCAAGTTCGATCTCGTCGCTGCTAATAATACAGTGATACATACCTATGGGCCTACTCGTCTATGCCTCCTACTTGGGCCTCAGGCGAGACTTCACCTGGAGCTTCACTATCGCGGACGTTACCAAGGCAATTATAGGAGTTGACTTCTTGAGCTACTACAACCTCCTAGTGGACTGTAAGAACCAGCGTCTGGTTGATGGCACTACCACCCTGTCAGTTGCAGCTATCCAGTCGGGAATATCTGACCACATTTCGTCAGTTAAGGCTTTTACCGGGAATACGGAATTCCACACCTTACTACGCGAGTTTCCAGAGATAACACGACCAGCAGGTATAAAATCTCCTTCTAAACATAATACTATGCACTTTATTCGAACCACTCCAGGTCCACCTGTTTCTTGCAAGCCACGCCGTCTTGATCCAGTTCGCTTACAAGCGGCGAAGAAGGAGTTTGAGGACATGCTTGCATGTGGTACTGCACGACGCTCGGGGAGTCCCTGGTCTTCTGCACTACACTTGATGAGGAAGAAGGATGATGGATGGAGACCATGCGGCGATTATCGCGCCTTAAACGCCAGGACTATTCCAGATAGGTACCCCATACGTCATATACATGATTTTTCTCATCAGCTCTCAGGGTGCACCGTCTTCTCCACCATCGATCTGGTTAAGGCGTATAACCAGATTCTAGTCAATCCAGTCGTTTTAGACACTTAATGCCTTGACGACACAAAATTGCGATCAAGATGAATAATCGTGAGCAAAGAGATGCGAACTCTTCACGTGGCAGAGGCCATTCCGGCGGAAACCGCCGAGCAGCCCGAGATGCGAGGAGAGCCTACGAACATTTCAACACTCGGCGTCAAATAGCCGACTGGTCATATGAACCAGTACCTTACGATCCAAGCCGGGAGGTAAACCGCCGGCCTACCCAGCGAACAGAAAGCTGGAAGAACCGTAAAAACGTAAAGAAAGACGAGAAACCACAGGAAGTGAGACCGAGTCTAGTAGAGGATGCCCCACGGGATGAACCCTTATACGACTTAGGACCACACTCGTCAATGATACCCGACCAGGACTGCTACTGCCAGAACTTCGAGTTCTCTGGCTTTATTCCACTGCTTTCAGAAACATATGAAAAGCTAAGAGGTGTGGATCCTAGACTGCATGACCGACTGCCGCAGTCCATGTTTTTTCACGCGATGTGCACCCACCTCAACCTGGACCTGCTCGAGACGGCAAGATTAGCGGGACAGAACGTCCTCAATTTACGCACTGATGCACGTGAGATACTCCCAGATTACCAAGTGCTTCCACAACCTGTAGCTGACTATATCTCTCACGTCACCAGCGTCATCACCCAGGACGGGAGAGAGATTAAATTGAACCTCCCACCAATTGCCATACCGCAGGGTTCTATTGTGGAAAATAATGTTGAAGTATGTCCCAGTGGTAGTTTCGGCCCTGTCAACGCCGACACTCATAATGTCTACGAGTGCTATATTTCGCCACTAGTTACTTCAAATCGAGTCCTGGCTTCACAACAACGGCAGGAAGACTACGATCCACTGCCTCTTGATATTGTGGTTGGAAATTTAGTTCCAAATCGTAATCTACTCGGTTTTAATTATTATAGGTAGGGCTGAGCTGTAGGCTACTACCGGGGTCCATAGGTGGCGGATAATGGAACGGCTTGGAGATATCCTCGCTAGCTGCATTGCAGTCCCCGACCATTCAGCGACAAGGTACTAGGATGCAGTGGTTATTCCTTAGGAAAGAATAGCCTATAAAATGCTGCAATATCCAATGATGTCCTTGTGACCTGGCGTGTCGTGCCGCCAGTAAATAAGCACTCCTCTGTTATGGGCAGCTGCATAACAGTATTTTCAGAAGAGGAAGTCTAGTTGGCTGGAACTGTTCTGGAAAAGGAAGCTATTGACGGAGATGGTGTGCATCGGTACGGCAATAGTACAGCGTGTGGAAGGCAACGGGAAACCACCACATATATTTCCCCAGGAAGATCATTATGGCTGAAAAAATATAAAAATGGCCCTCAGTCCCCGGCAGACCTTTGATGGTCAGAGGGTGCGAAGAATCTCCGGGTCAGCCATGACGATTGCTACGTGGAACGTCAAGAGTATGTACCGCACCTATAAAGTGGTAAATATAGAACGGGAGATGCTAAGACTTAAGATAAACATCCTTGGGGTGAGTGAGTCTAGGCACCAGGGAACTGGAGTCTTGTTACGGGATGACACAGTAGTATATTATAGCGGTAACAATGATAAAAATCATTACAACGGTGTGGCCGTCATTATCAGCAGACATCTACATCATCAGGTTCAGAGTTTCTTACCCATATCGGACAGAGTTTTAGTCCTGGAGTTAAGAGCAAAACCTAAAAACATCCAGATAGTCCAGGTTTATGCACCAACCACCGATGCTACTGACGAGGATAATGAACTCTTTTACGAACAAGTAGAAAACGCTCTTAAACATCTCAATCCACACAACATTATCCTAGTCCAAGGTGACTTTAATGCAAAAATCGGAGAGGGCAAAGTCTCGGACATCGTTGGTCCATTTGGACTGGGAAAAAGAAACGATCGCGGTGACCGCCTTTTACAATTCTGCGAAGAACACGGGCTTATTATTTCAAACACCCAATTTAAGCAACCTCCAAGAAGATTGTATACGTGGACTTCACCATTACATTCACCGAAGAAGATCGTCCGTAATCAAATTGATTATATTCTGATAAACAAAAGATACCGCAACAGTTTAAAATCAGTTAAAACCTATCCAGGCGCCGATATTGGATCTGATCACAATCCGGTTGTTGCATCCCTTCGCTGTAGTATGAAAATTCTAAAACCTAAATCAAAAAGACAACAAATGGATGTGACCAGACTTAAAGAACCGGAAATACGGCTTAAAACAGCTACAGAAATAAATATGGCTGTTGACCGCTTGAACAAAGAACTTGGTCCTAATGTTGACGTAGAAGAGACATGGACTAAATTAAAGGAAAAGCTTGTTGATACTGGTAAAAGAATTCTCCAACCATTAAAATGTAAAATAAAAAACCGCTGGATCACTGAGGAGATTTTAAGCCTAATGGAACAGCGCAGAACCCACAAAGGAGTAGATGATCAACAATATAAATACATACACAAGTTAATCCAAACAAAAGTACTTGAAGCGGAAGAAAAATGGATGGTTGACCAATGCATTGCGATAGAAGAGTTTGAGGCCAGATATGATTATTTTAATATGCATAGGAAAGTCAGGGAAATAACGGGTACTTTTAAAACACGAAACATGAACTGTAACGTTTTACTGGATGATCAGGGAAATCCTGCTAAAACAATTGAAGATAAACTTAATACTTGGCAAAATTATATAACAACACTATTCCATGACGTTAGACCTGCTCTAGAATCAAGTTCATGTGGAAGTGAGTTAACTGGACCACCAATTAATAAAACTGAAATTGCTTATGCCATTAACATGTCCAAGTCAGGAAAATCTGTAGGCGGTGATGAATTACCCGTGGAACTGTTGAAAGTGCTTGAGTATGCTAACTTAGGAATAATAGTAAAGTTATTCAACACCATATATGATTCGGGCGTCATACCGTCGGATTGGCTTAAATCCACCTTTGTCACCTTGCCCAAAGTTGCTTCTGCAAAGAAATGCAGCGAGTACAGAACCATCTCCTTAATGAGCCACACCCTAAAATTGTTTCTTAAAGTAATCCATAAAAGAATTTATAGTAAATGTGAAGACCTCATTTCAAGAACACAGTTTGGGTTCATGAATGGCCTAGGAACGAGAGATGCACTTTTCGGGTATCAAGTCCTAATACAGAGATGCTGGGACATAAATCAAGATGTGTTTGTATGCTTTATCGATTATGAAAAAGCATTTGATAGGGTACAGCATGCAAAAATGGTCGATATATTACAATCCATCGGACTCGACTCTAAGGACGTAAGGTTTATTAAACACCTATATTGGAACCAATCGGCGAATGTACGTATAGAGGGCAGACTAACAGATGATTCGGAAATCTTACGTGGAGTACGGCAGGGATGTATTCTCTCGCCAATTCTTTTTAACATATACTCAGAGATGATTTTCAGTGAAGCATTGGATCAGATGGATATAGGTATTACAGTGAATGGACAGATTATTAACAATATCCGTTATGCCGATGACACTGTACTGCTTGCATCTACAATGGAAGAACTTCAGATCCTTATAGATAAAATCCAATCTGTTAGTTCAACGTATGGCCTTAGTGTCAACACCAAGAAAACCAAATACATGACAGTTTGTAAAATACCACCTGCTAACTCTACACTACTATGTAATGGACAACCTCTACAAAAAGTTAGCAAATACAAATATTTGGGATGCTGGGTTGATGATACGGGTGACCACAGTCTTGAAATAAGGTGCCGCATTGAACAAGCCCGTAATGCTTTCTTTAAGCTTAAGTCACTTCTGTGCAATAAAAAGCTGAACATCCAGCTCCGAGTACGATTAGCACGCTGTTATGTTTTCTCCATTCTCTTGTATGGCGTCGAAGCATGGACCCTCACAGAATCGAGCTGTAAGAAGATTGAAGCCTTCGAAATGTGGGTATACAGGAGAATGTTAAGGATATCCTGGAGAGACAAAATAAAAAACGTAACCGTGCTAAGTCGCGTTAAGAAAAAACCTGAAGTTTTATACTTAGTAAAGAAAAGAAAGCTTGAATATCTCGGCCACATAATGAGAAACCGAAAATACGACCTACTACAACTCATCATACAAGGAAAGATCCAAGGAAAACGAAATGTGGGTCGAAGAAGAACATCTTGGCTAAAAAACCTACGCCAATGGTTTGGAAAAAGCACCCGTTCCTTATTCAGAGCTGCGGCATCAAAGATACAAGTTGCTTTAATGATCGCCGACCTTCGAAAGAAGATGGCACTTTAAGAAGAAAGAAGTCAATCCAGAGGATGTACCGAAGACCGCGATCACAACGCTTTCGGATTGTATGAATTCCCATACATGACCTTTGGTTTGCGGAACGCTGCGCAAACCTTCCAGAGATTCGTCGATGAAGTTCTTATCGGCTTGGATTTCTGTTATGGATACATTGACGATATTTTGGGTCTTTTCTCCTTCTCCAGAACTTCATCAGGAGCATCTACGGCAGTTGTTCGAACGCCTGAAACAGTATGGGATTTTAATAAATACATCAAAGTGCAAATTGGGGCAAGCAGAGGTGACGTTCCTTGGATATCAGGTGTCAGCAGCTGGTACTAAGCCTTTCTAAACAAAGGTCGAAGCTATCCAGAACTTCGCAGCACCGAAAACAGTAAAGGAGCTTCAACGTTTTCTTGGTATGCTAAATTTCTACCGACGCTTTATTCCTAAAGCCGCGCAGATCCAGGCACCGCTTACTAATATCCTCGCTGGCCCACGCATTAAAGGCTCACAGCCTATCTCGCTTACACCTGAAATACTAAAGGCTTTCGATAGTTGTAAGGCTTCCCTCTCGCAGGCCACACTACTATCTCATCCAGATCCTATCGCTGAACTCGCAATAGTCACGGATGCTTCTGACGTAGCTATTGGAGCCGTGCTACAGCAGAAGAAGGGCGAAAATTGGGAACCATTGGCTTTCTTCTCTCAAAAATTAAATACAGCGCAGAAGAAGTACAGTCCGTATGACCGAGAATTGCTTGCAGTATATGAAGCGATAAAGTACTTTCGTCATATGGTAGAAGCTCGAACGTTTATGGTGTTTACGGACCATAAGCCACACACATTTGCGGAGCGTCGGCGAGTGTCATTAATTACAGACCTATTTCTATATTATCTACTATGTCAAAGAGTTTAGTCTATGAATCATTTTTCAAAAATCTAGGACGGCGTTTATGCTGGCAGCAACATGGATTTTTGTCTGGTAGGTCTACTGTCACAAATCTATTCTTATACGTCACCAATTTAATTGAGAATGTTGATAATAAATTACAAGTGGATGCCATATACACAGACTTCTCTAAGGCCTTTGACAAAGTAAATCACGCTTTACTTATTAATAAATTGAGATCACTTGGTATAAAAAATGGTAAAATTCAAGATGTCAATTTTTTTTATTTGACTTATGTTCCTCGAGGAAAACAATCTCGATAAGTTTCTTCACTCTTTTTTAAATCGTTAAAAATTGGCTTACATGATGTCATCGTTAGACTTTGGAGTAGGGAGCTTCAACGCTTGTTTTACTGGTGAAAGTTTGGATCTGTTGCAGGATAATGATTATGGGTTAACTCTTCGTACGCTTAGCGATCAACGCATGTTTCAGGATGTTACGCTAAAGTATGATTTGATGAAGATCACGAAAACTATTTATCCGGTGTGGCGCTCAACTAACCATTTTACTGCAGTAACTGGTGATCATACTGCCGCATTTATAATGACCCTGTCGGTTGCGGTCGTTTATGCGCGTGGGGTAACAGCATGGCTAATATTATCGGCGAGGTTTATATTATGCAACCGGGTGTTATTGAATTAATTGCTTATTCGGCGCATATGTTTGATAAAAAACTGAGTGTGAAGCATACGCTTAAAACTACTGTTTCTAACTTTGAAGATTATAATTAGGCTGATGATACAATTGTGCTAGTTCGAAGCCATCATGAGAGTACTAATTTACATGACAATCGTATTCATGACGTCACCTCTGCTGAGATTGGCAAGGCGGAGAGTATTTGTAACGGTTTAAATCTTTTTTGGAAAAGCATTATTCAACCAATTGATATTAAATCATATGGTTGTGTATTATCCACTGCAGCCTTTATGCTTCCAGCGAAAGAGAGAGATTTTAGTGCATCATTGCTATATATTCAAATTATATATTATAATCGTACCAATGAAAAGGACCTTGCGGAATTCAAGATTATTGCTGACGTTGAGAAACGACGGATGTCGGGCCGAGTAAAAAAGATGTTAAGGAGTAGTATTCCTTCGCCTTTCAAAGTATCATCTCTTCTTGCGCTATTGTCGACGGCTAGCGATGATATTCAAATGGTTAATAGCATGTTTGAACATTATGTGCATTTTCCGTTGTATAAATCTCTCATTCTATCAAGCATATGTACCACTGATGCTTATAATGTCGGGAAGTTCTTACTTCAGCTCTATGTGCTCGATGAGGCGCCATCTTCTACAGTTAGTGTAAGACAATTTCTTAATGGTGCGGTGCCTTTCAAATGTGTTCAGTAGTACAGGGTATTGTCCGGTACGTATTGGCGCGAATTGTATCCAGAGTGGGTATTACGAGTCGTTTTGAACAATTCACTCAGTAGGCACGCCTTAGCCTCTAAATATCCGAAGTTGTTTGAGCGAAGCTTAATATAGAGTATATTAAATCCTGTATAAACCGTGAAGTTTTAGTAATTAGTTATTAGGTTCCCTTAGTGAAGCGATTTATATTCATGATTATGAAAATCTTTACTTTGGGACCAACTCTAGCTCATATTCAAAAGCCAGCTGTTCGATTACAATAAATGACATTCTTTCTTATATTTATTTAGACTTATTCGACTAATTTGTACGAAACAGCTATTTTTTTTAAAGATAGTAAGTAGGCCCCTTAGTGAAAGTTGTTCATATTCATGGTTCTCCTGACAAACGGAACCTAATGAGGGGTTTACACGGGTGACTAAAGCCGCACGATTTTTGCCGCGCGGCGTAAATCGACCATCTAAATGGCAATTCGGCTAAGTTGCAAGTGACTAAAGCCGCAAGCCCCAAAGTTGGGTAGCATCCGACTTTGGCCGCGCGGCAACCGGCCGCATGCGACTGGTGACTAAAATCGACCGTGTAAACGATCAGTTGCAGGCAATCGCCCGCCGCATGAAGGTGTTTCGCGCACGCGCGTGTATTTATTCACTACAGCGTTTCTGTGTACATGTATCGTAACAACCATGAATAAAAATAACACCATACAGTTTTTGGAATGCTATGAAATGCATCCATGCTTATGGAACCCAAGAGAACAAGATTACAGGAACAATAATGTACGTTTAGCGGCTCTTAAATCTATTATTCAAGAAATGCGTTTGTCCATAACAGTTGAAGAGCTTAAATTGAAGATAAAAAATATACGAACCACGTATAATAGAGAGGCCAGTAAGGTAGCAAAGTCAAGAGTGGCGCGGGAAAGGATGATATATACAGACCTCAATTAATTTGGTTATCTGTAGCTGACCGCTTTTTAAAGCCAGTGATAGAAGGAAGAAACAGTAAAGATAACATGGTAAGTCTTATTATTATTTATTAAATAGTTATTCTTGTTCGCATATTATAAATTATAATAGGTAAATCGTGAACAGAGCCATTTTTATAATATTACTTAAATAAACATACAATATTTACGCAATCATTCTATCTTGCCATGAAACTTTTCCTGGTCCGACAAAATAGTCAGCATATCTATCGCGCAGATCTTTTGCATTTCGTGAATACTTGTTAGAAGATAGCGGTGTCATTAATTCGTCTACTCCATTAGTTAGTTTGTACCGGTTCTGGCTCGTGAGCCAGAACCGGTGCAATCTGGCAAACTTACTCTCGGTACTGACGGGCTAACTCACGGACGATTCTGTTTTGCAACGGTCGATTCTCGAGTTACGGATCCTAAAAAAAAAAAAAAAAAGGTTTTGGCATGCTCTGATCACGAATCTGCGATCCATTTTTGCGTACGATGCGCGGTTCTGGAGATGTGGAAATCAATTAGGAAATATCTGATTGATATCCGGTGGCCTCGCACCCTCATTAGCGCTCCGTTGCTCTCCTTATCTATTGTTCCGAAGATAACGCGCTAACAAGGGATGGGTCATAAATTTTCGTGTGCTTAGGAATTTGCTTTAGGTAAGAAATAACTATTTATAATATATGATTTTATAATATTTGATTTGATTGTATACTTCTATTGGTCATCAACTACCATGCTACTCTAAATCATAAGTAAAACACACTCATCTAACAATTTTTATTTATTCATTTCATAATTTTATTACATATCTATACACATACATAACATTGAAGTGTCTGTTTTTCATTTCAAATTCTCAGTTTTTAATTAAACACATATCAAAGTATATAACATACTAACATCAAAAAAACAGTTTTTACAATTTTTGTCTGTATGTCTTTCACTGATAGATACCTAAGGTTCTATGGAGTAACTATTTAAATTAACCTAAAATTATAAAACCCGTTTAATTTCTTTTAACTTACGCCCAGCGAAGTGGGCCTGGTTTGCTAGTTCTCTATAAAATATGAGCGGAACATCTCATCCACTAAAATATCGTTGTACAATGTGTTCCCTGTAAATATGTTCGTAAAACTATACATTGAATATCCCTGAAACTTATATTGCAAATACATTAAGCAATATTCACCACATACTGAAGTCCAATCATTCTGAATCCTATTAATATTCCAGACCCATCTTTTACAATTCCTTTTTAAAAACTCTAGATGATATCGTGTAGGTGTTCGTCCATATGAATCAAAATATTCACCTATGCTATTCGTATCGATATGTAAAGCTACCCAGTGTGAGCCTGGTTTATCATCTGTATCCAAATTGCATATTATACACGTTGGTACATGAGTATACATGGGTAGTCTATTAGCAGCATAAACATTATTTTCTAGACTAGGATGAATCTTTTTCATATGTCGCTGAACATCTAGTGTATCCATGATATTACTGCTATTGGTACATTTATACAGTACCAATCTATTCAATGGATAACTTAGGAATGTTCAATTATAGTGCTTTTTAATTATTAAATCGCATTCTTTTGTGATGAGTCATGGAACTGGTTTATCATTCGTATCCAAATTGCATATTATACACGTTGGTACATGAATATACATGGGTAGTCTATTAGCAACATAAACATTAACTGTGCAGCGCATCACGAAGGAATGTGAGATAACGCGTCACGAAGGGATGGGTCATAAATTTTCGTGTGCTTAGGAAAGGAATGTGAGATAACGCGCCACGAAGGGATGTGAGATAACGCGCTACGAAGGGATGGGTCATAAATTTTCGTGTGCTTAGGAAAGGAATGTGAGATAACGCATCACGAAGGGATGGGTCATAAATTTTCGTGTGCTTAGGAAAGGAATGTGAGATAACGCGCCACGAAGGGATGTGAGATAACGCGCTACGAAGGGATGGGTCATAAATTTTCGTGTGCTTAGGAATTTGCTTTAGATAAGAAATAACTATATAAGGTCGAACAACTGCCGGCATGCAATCAGTCTATGGTCGCTCGACCGCAGTGAATTGCATATAGTCTACCAATACTACACGTGTGTTACTTCAACTCATCAATACCCATGGAGGTAAGTGTTTATATTCTATTAACAAACTTTCTTTTCTTTCTGTTTCCTAACGTGTGTGTGGTGTTTCATAAGCGTAAATAAATTGATATTAACATGATAACTGTGTTGTTGCAGAAATCATTCAACTTCGATGAAAATACATATAAACAGTATTACTACTCGTCACTCTCCCCTCAATGCGAAGAACAGAGTGATGACATCGTGATTAATAACACACGCGATGGTGTAAAAAGGAAATCGCCGGCGCTTGATCAGTTTTTTTGAAGTGGCGTCAAAAATAAAAAAATGTATAAAGTTTGTGATGAAATAGAGAAACGTGAACTGTTCGATTCATCATATGATGAAGAATTGTATAATCACTGTGCGATGGTTGAAACCCTGCTCAAGTAAGTAAAATAAACATAAATTTCAACTATAATTTACACATTGTTTAACATTTTTTTAATAAAATAAAACATTTTAACAGTCAACCACTACAACTTGGTAGAGGAATGAAGCGAACGAGTAGTGAAGACCCCCAGATCGTTAAGAAACCAAGAACTGAAGAAGAAGCGTCTACCTCTGTAGGGACCAGTGTCGGTAACGATGATCAAGTTGAATGTTTAACGTGTCATATATTGATCAAGAAAAGGTATTTAACTAATCATTTTAAAAGTAATGTTCACAAAAATAATCTTTTAAATGCACATAATTCTTTATCAAACGTAAGTGTTATTGAATCTGCTTTTGGAAACAGAATTTTATGTTATAAAATCAAGAGTAGAGTAGATCGTTTACAACCGTTAAATTTTGAAACTCCCGAACTATTTTTTAATTCTATTAAAGATGATATTTTATTTTTAATACAGGAGTGTATTCATCAACACACAATTTTTAAAGTAAATTTCATACTGCATGCTGATTTTGTTCAGCAAACTAAAGATATTCATGAAACGTTCGATTTTCAAACATTTAACTATATTATTTGCACCGGAGATGACTTAAATATTTTTCTTTCATCTTTAAATGATACAATTACTAGTAAAATTAGTGCATTCGAAAAAAAAGATAGTGGATGGAGTCTAAAAAACATAAAATCTATAGACATGAATGTCAATAAATTCAACCCCCTTCGCGGTACTTCATACCTATGTATATCTTCCTCATGATATAAAATTAAAAAAGGCTGTTTTAAATGTAAAAAACAAAGATTATTTTTGTTTTAAATGGGCGTTACTCTCAGCATTATATCCTATAAACAAAAACGCAGATCGGGTATCATCGTACGCTATACATGCAAATAAACTTAAATTTGACGGTATTTCCTTTCCTGTTAAAATTACTGACATAGCAAAAGTAGAGAAGTTAAATGATATTAGTATTAATGTATTTGGGTTAGAATATAATAAAGAAAAACGATGTAATTCTGTAGTAGGTCCATTATTTTTAACGAAGTGTCGTAAAGCTAGACATATCAATTTATTATATTTTTCTAAGGATACGAACAATCATTATTGTTACATAAAGAATTTATTACGGTTAGTTAGTAAACAAATTTCAAAAGACTGTCATGCTATGTACATTTGCGATGCGTGTCTACTTCATTTTCCATCTCAGGAAAGGTTAAATAACCATGAAAAACATGATTGTGCTCACATTTGTACAGAATTACCAAACAGTGAAACTTTAAAAAAGAATTGGTTTGGTCAACCTATTTCAAATGATAAAATTAAATTTGATAGTTATGAAAAAAAGTTAAAGATACCATTCGTAGTTTATGCTGATTTTGAAGCATTTTTAAAACCAATAGAATCATGTTCTAACGATCCATCCAAACCATTCACACATAATATTCAGAAACATGAAGTGTATAGTTTTGGTGATTATATAAAATGTTCATATGATGATAAATTATCGAAATATGTAACATATAGTGGACCCAACTGTGCACAAGTGTTTATGGAAAGTTTATCTAACAATTTGAAAGAAATATGTCAAAAAAATAGATTTCAAAAATGTTCAGTTCCGCTAACAGATGAAAACAAACACCAAATTTCAAATGCAACCATTTGTCATATTTGTGAAGTTGAGTTAGCAGAACCTTTTTATGATTTTGATTGGTACACCGGTAGTTTTATAGGTGTGGCTCATGAATCATGTAGCTCGAAATTCAGAACACCACGTCATATACCAATATTTTTACATAACCTTAGTCACTATGATGCTCATTTTATTGTTCATGCATTAAACTTTTGTGATGGCGAAATCGATGTTATCCCTCAAAATAAAGAAAAATATATATCCTTTTCCAAAAAAATTAAAATAAATAATCATGAAGTTATATTGAGATTCGTGGATTCATTTAAGTTTTTATCGTGTAAATTAGATCAATTAGCCAAAAATCTCAGTAATGATCAATTTCAAGAATTACGTAGAAATTTCCCTAAGGATGAAGATTTCATTCGTTTAAAACGGAAAGGGGTTTATCCATACGAATTTATGACTAATTATGATAGTTTAAAGCTAACATCGCTCCCTGATAAAAATGATTTTTTTAGTTCACTCACAGATTCCCATATTTCAAACGATGATTACAATCATGCTAAAGATGTTTGGGAGCACTTTGGTTGTTGTAATATGCTAGATTATTCAAACTTGTATTTAAAAACAGATGTTTTACTTTTATCCGATGTATTCGAAAACTTTAGAAATCTATGTATGAATACCTATCATTTAGATCCAACCCATTATTATACAGCTCCAGGATTAAGTTGGGATGCAATGTTAAAATATACACAAATAGAATTAGAACTTTTAACAGATTATGAGAAAATTGCATTTATTAGGTCAGGTATCAGGGGTGGTGTATCTCAATGTAGTAAACGTTATGCTAGAGCTAATAACAAATACATGGAGGATTATGATGTAGAGAAACCAAATTCATATATCACATATTTTGATGCTAACAATTTATATGGTTGGGCTATGTCTCAAAATCTTCCTACTGGTGAATTTGAATGGGTAAATCCGAATACAGATTTTAATGTGTCTGAAACATCGGACTTCGGTTTCATTTTAGAAGTTGATTTAGAATATCCCGATGAACTTCATGATTTACATTCGGACTTTCCTTTATGTCCAGAAAACATTTGTGTAGGTAATACTAAGGAGAGTAAACTAGTCCCAAATTTAAATAATAAAGTTAAATATGTAATACATTACAGAAATTTAAAGCAATGCATAGAAATGGGGGTAAAACTAACTAAAACTCATAGAGTTTTAAAATTTAAACAGTCTCCATGGTTAAAAAAGTATATAGATCTAAATACAAAATTTAGAATGTTAGCAAAATCAGATTTCGAAAAAGATTTTTATAAATTAATGAACAATTCAGTCTTCGGTAAGACTATGGAGAATATCGAAAAAAGGGTCAACGTAAAATTAGTTACACACTGGGAGAACCGGGGTAAAGCTTTAGGTGCTCAAGATCTAATCGCTAAACCACAATTTCATAGTGTTTCAATATTTTCGGAAGACTTTTCTAAGTTTTTGAAAACTTTTCAAAAACTTAGAAAAGTTAGAAAACAAAAACTTAGAAAACAGACTTTTCTAAGTTTTTGAAAACGTGAATTGAGAGAGATGGATCTTCTTTGATCCAGCTCGCTCAATTCACCACTACTAAAATGGTTAATCCTTTGACAATTTCTTGACAGATGTAAAAGCGAAGACCTCTCAATGCGTTTTCAAAGGAGAATGCTAAGAAGAAATGATAAGAGACAGATTGGTGTTTGGAACTATCGATATGGATAGTTAAGAAAAATTAATTAAAAATAGAGACACCCCATTAGAAAATGTTATTTCTTCATTACGAACAACGGAAATTACAAACAGCCATGTAAAGGAAATTTAAAACTTCTCAGGCTTATGATAAAATTGATTCAGTGTCATCTCACACAAATATAGTAAAGATCAACAAGTTAAATATAGTAAAGAAATTTACAATTCTAAGTATAATAATTCACTAAGGGTTATAGTCTTAATTATGCCCAATGTCCAGCCTTTGGTAAAACGTGTGCAAAGTGTCCAAAAACTAACCACTTTGCAAAAGTGTGTCGGTCCAGTAATAAAAACACCAACAAAAATGTCTCTGAAGTGCATTTGGATCCTGAAACTGAAGATAACTACTTTTGTGGTACACTAAACATCAAAGGATTTCTCCTTTCCAATTCCCATAGAAACTAGGCCCCGGTGCTTACGGGATTGAAATTTTGCTATAAATTAATACATTTAGAAATTATTCTAGAGTGCAATTTTCACGGGCCCTAGCAATGGCCAAGTTAGTTAAATCGAGTGTTAAATATGCAATTTATAATACATTTTAGATGGTTTTTTCAAGCTTTATACATAGTTATAATAGTATATTATGTAGTATTTGTTGGTATAACATCGAGTGGAAATAGCCGTTATTCAAAATTACGCACGACATTCGCGCACGAATTGACCGATTGTTTTGTCTATATTTTTGTATAGTTTATTTTGTTTGGAATACGCTAGAATCTCGTCCGTTATTTAAAAAAAGTATCTTAAAGTCCATTTCAGTCGTTATATTTGCCCAATATTCCAGAGTTTTGCATAAAATTAATTCTAAACACGGGGCCTCCCAAAACTCACGCACACAGACTCGTCTTTATCTTGAATGTGTGCGTGTCACAAGAGACGCCGCGCTAGGCATTGTGATACGGGGTGTTATATTTTTCAACCGATTGTTAAGGAGGTTCTCAATATAAATTCATTATTGTTTAAATTTATTATTATTTTAATTTAATGAGATTACACATAGAAACTTAGAATAATTTAATTAATATTTTCAAATATTGTACTAACGCGCGCACTACTTCTGGCTGACAACTTCCTTTATTTGTTGGTTTGGTAAAAAGGGTTGGAGGGAGGTAGCGCGCGCGCAGTGGACAGTTGATTGTCGACAGTCGAGTTGAGTAGACGTTAGAAAAGGCATTATAAGTCATAGTGTGATTTGTGAAGTTTCATCAATATGTAAGTATAATAAATTGATTTAATTGTGGAAAAGTGTTTTAATTACCTGAGCTCTGAAACAAGCGAGAATCATATATCAGGAGTAATACCATTTGATCATGAGTACTGCAACCGTAAAATATATTTATGATTCCAATAAATTAAGCCAAAAATATTTGTTTTATTTTAAGTACCAGATTTTTCTTTAGTAGGTTTTTGATTAGGAATTTGATATACAAGTAATTAGATTATTTTTCGCATTTTATATGATTATAAGCTCACACTTGCGTCGGTAAAAAATGGTATGTATTAAAATTTGAATTTTCAATCATAATATGTAAGCCGAAAGTATATGTATAGTGGCAATACTGTTAATAAGACAACCAACCTTTTTTTGTTTGTTTTTATCGTTAGGAAACCCTGTTGCCGGGTACCCGCCGCTTGGGGAAGAACGACGGGTTGTGTGGGGCTCCTGCCGCGCAAAGATGGTAAACGTACGATAGCCTGCACTAAAACCTGACGGTTTCCGAGGCCACGGGAACCAGAAAATTATCCGCGAACCCCTACGGCAATTGCCTTACGGCACGTCTCAGTGTCGGAGCGAGAGGACATCTACTATGACAACCATCTGGAATTAACGTGTCGTCATGACAACGTAGTGCGTATGCCTGGCGACGGAGCTTGTGCGTACAGAGCTATGTTGTACAACCTCGGACTGGACGCGACTGACGTAGAGTTAGTCAATGGTGAAGTGATTGATGCCTTCAGATTTGTGTTATACTCACTTGCCGACAAGCCGGAGGAACACGGTAACATGTTGTTGCCGTATGCTGATGGTGCGGGTTGGGGTAATGACACAAATTTTGCATTGCTGTGTAGGTTAATAGACGCCCGTCTGTGCGTACACATGCGCAAGGGGACCATTACTCTCCAACGACAGGTTATACGGAGGTACATAAATTAACCGGTAATGAGATGATCCACGTCGTGTGGCAGCTGGGTGACGATGGCGTTGGGATGCATGTAGACGCCATAGATGACGGAATTGGTGAGGAGATGCGCCGTAAGCGCCTTGAAAAACTTGTGGAGATAGCTAACGGAAAAGCTATAGCGAATGTCAGTGTCAGGGACGCTCTCGATCCTTACGGTAGATTGACGGAGGTGTTGCGTGGCAATGACTTGGGTAATTGTTTCTTGAATCGAGGTGGTGTCAAGTTGGCGCAGATGCTCGTTGATAATGAGGATGCGGTGGCTATTTTGACTAGCGAGAGGTGTAATGTGCTCGATTTAGGCGCCGCACCCGGTGGCTTCTCCTCTGTGATCCGTAAGGCAGCCCCCCACGCTGCGATAACAGCTGTATCGGTGGACGGTGGGGTCGCACGCGACGCGCGACTAGATGAACACGTTACGTGGGTAACGTCTGACATCTTTGACTTAAAACCGGACGCGTTGAGCGGTCCTTTCGACATTGTCGTTGCTGATGCCGCGACGTCTGATTCTTACACAAACCCAAAACTATTTAATAGAGAGGTAGAGTTGGCAATTTCCGTGCTGGCTGGTGGAGGTATGATGATTATAAAATCAAATAACCTCCTACGTGATGATTATGTCGTTGCGATGTGAATCTGTGTCGAGTTCGTATAGTGCAGTGAGCGACAGGAGTGACTTAAAGAAAGGAAAAAGGAAGACGCACATTATTCACCGGTCTGTAAACTATCACGCCTCCCCGACGTATGTTGGATCAAAGGTGGGTACTTTGAACGGCGTGGTGAACAACGAACGCACTATTGAGGTCGTCTGTATGTACAGAACCACAAAAATGTAAGGAGGAGACTCGTCGCACGGCCTCATTAATGGTGGCGATAGAAGCAGCGGGAAAGTGCGGTGTTCGCAACGTTGGTGCGGACGGCACGGGTGTGACGAGCGGTAAATCGTATAGTCGTTCTAAGACGCTGGTTTCATACGCAGTTAGGATGAGGTCGAAGTGTATACAATGTGATGAGTCCAGTATCGGGGATAATGTTGACTCGACTTCAGAGCGCCTCGTTCTAACTAAGGCCGTGGGGCAGACGTCTAGGTTCTTCAAAGATAATACCGACAATGAGAGTTGTGTCTCTTCGTCCTACAGCTCGGTTTGTGATGTTTTGTCGCTATCCACTGTGGAAGGCAGAGGTTTACGCAAGCGCCCCATAGCCTTGTTTGGTGACGAGGACGTGCCTGTGATATATTTCTCGTATTGCGATACATCAGGTACAGGAAAGGTATTGATCTCTCCGGGTATTATGTTGAATGGCACCGACATGCGAACGTCGATAGAGAGGTCCGTGTATTCATCGTTACCCACAGTAGTGATGGAACATATGGCGGGAGAATTACCTGCTAAGGTCCTTGTTACAGGATCCAAAAAGGACAAGATAGTTATCCTGTTGGACTTAAGTGACTCTGAAACTTTTAAGAACCTTCAGTACGAGTTTTTCGACGGTCTGCGGGGAATGGCGTTGGCGAAGGATCTCGGCGCACGAGTGGTGGTTGTGGATACGATGTACGGTTTGGCTGCGAACCTAATACCACCGATAAACTACTACCTGTCGCTGTCTAAGAGCCAGTCCACACGGCGCGTTGCGTCAGCGTTGCGTCGACGCAGCGCTACCACTGCGTTGTTTTACATACAAATAACCAAGGTGTTCACACGGCGCGCTGCGTCGTCGCAACGCACACATGACGGACAGCAGCCCCCGAGACGAAGCGGGAGGGGGTGTACTCGTGCGACGTCGGAGCGTCAGCGCTCAGTTGCTTGTGCGTTGACAGAGAGGATACACGGAAGCTCATTTCGTTTTACGTTTACGTTTTTGTATTTAGTTTTATTTGCAGGGTAAAATGAATACCATTGAAGAAATTGACATAGATTACTTGATTACATTGATACAGGAAAGGGAAATTATATGGGACAAGTCAAACGTAGATTTTAAAAATAAAAATTTAAAAACAAAAGCCTGGGAAGACATATCAAAAGTTTTATTTCCTGATTACGAGAATTTCACAGCTGAACGAAAAAATAAAGTTGGTGAGTTCACAGTACAGATATTTATGTTTTTTTTATTTAAGAGGGCTTTCAAGATTTTCTTGCACCGCCAATTCCGCGATCAGTACAAAATTAATATCTCGACACTCTAAAATTTTAAAACTTAGGGAATTTAGATTAGCGTGAGTACTATTTTATTACTTAGCTCAAAACTAACCTAGACTACGCTGAGTAGGTATAAAATATTATTTTTTTACTGATCGCGGAATTGGCGGTGCAAGAAAATCTTGAAAACCCTCATAATACAATTATACCTTATTTAGCTGCCAAGGCAGAGTTCCTCTAGTCATAAAATAGGTCGCATATTGCTGTCTTATGACATTCGGTGCTGTCTGTTCTTCATGTACGGGTTGTATTGGGAGAAATTCATCAACACTTATAGCAAATTTATCTCTTTGTCTAAAACCATCTCGATCAGCGACAAAATTGTGTAATACACAACATGCTTTTATAATGTCAGTAGCGAAGTCATAGGACACGTCTATCGGTCTGTGAAAAATGCGCCATTTGTTAGCCATAATCCCAAAAGCGCATTCGACATATCTTCTGGCTCTGCTTAGACGGTAATTGAAAACCTTTTGTTGTAAGTCGAGATTTTGACCGCCATATGGACGCATAATATGTTTGCTCTCAGTCCAAAAGCTTCGTCACCCACAAATACATACGGGGTTGGTATATTGCTACCAGAGAGTGGCTGGGGTTGAGGTAGTGGTAAGTTGTTGTTAATCATTAGCTCGTACAGTTTAGAATTTTGTAATATGGTTGAATCGCATTCTTTTCCGTATGCACCGATGTCGACAAATACGAATTTGTAATTTGAATCCACAATAGCTAGCAACACAATCGAAAAAAAGGCTTTATAATTAAAAAAAAGTGAGCCACTATTTGCAGGATTACACACGCGGATATGTTTGCCGTCGATGGCACCAACACATTGAGGAAAATTTGCCTTTACATCAAAACCCCTCGCTATTGTTTGGAAACTTTCAGTTGTCAGTTCAGGGATGTTGTCTCGAAGAAGATTGGTCCATATAGCACGACAAACTCTTTGTATTATATATGCAATAGTAGATTTTCCCCGTTTGAATTTGAAATGTAAATCAGTTATTGAATTTCCACTTCCTAGGTATCTGAAAAGAAAATAATTATTATAATATGCATTTATGAGATAGATAGATACCCGAAAAAAAATACTGACATATTCAGACATCGATAGCAAATAACTTTCTCTATGTAACCAATTAATTCTGGAATCGCGAAAAAAATAGCAGCTGTTGCATACATTTTGATTCAGTAGGTATTGCTTTTTGTATGTAACAGCTGTTATATTTTCACGATTCCAGAGTCGGTCACATAGTGTTTGTTAACGATATCTGAATATGTCATTAAATTTTATCGAGAAATTCACTATGTATAAATTATTAAATCATGTTTACTATTGGTTTTGCAGGTAATGATTTAATAAAAAAATGGAGAAGTGTAAAAGATAATTACTTCAGATATTCAAAAAAATTAAAAGAAGCATCAAAATCGGGCTCGGGCGCTACGAAACTGAAGAAGTATCATTTATACAATCAACTCCTTTTTTTGAGAAAAGTGGAACAAAATGCCACCGAATCTAGCTTAGACTCGCCTAGAGAAATCAACAATGAATCTACGTCTACAAATGATGACATTACCACAGACAACACTCCGCGCTATGTTCCAGTCGCGCGCAAAAGGGCAATGCAAATGGATGAGTTTGAAAGAGAAGGACTAAAACTTCTCAAGGAGCCGGAAAATCGCCATATGTCCTTTTTCAGAGCTATATTGCCATCTATTCAAGAATTTTCCGACCGAGAAACTCTCCGTTTCCAAAGTAAAGTTATACAAATTATAGATGAAATGCGGTATGGACAAACATCATCATATGTGAGTGGCCCATCAACGTCTCACCAACCACCATATGGGTATCAAACAGCAAATTTTCAAAGTACATACATTTCTGATTTTAATAATTCAATTACATCTCCAGAAACATCTCAAGCAAGTGAAGAAACTGAATACGATTTTTCTAATTTGTAATTACTGGATGATATCTCTCTTAAATAATGTCTAAATTTAAAATTATGACAATTGCTGATTATTTGTGAGTTGATTACTCTCTTAAATAATGTCTAAATTTAAAATTATGACAATTGCTGATTATTTGTGAGTTGATTACTAATTAAACAAACCAAAAAAACTGTTATATTTTTATTACTTAAATATATTTATATAGTTACCTTAAAGTGATTCCCAGCATTTCTACTGGTTCCACTGGATTCCTCATATTAGTATAGTTTTTTCGTATGTGTGGTTCTAAGGACTTCAATAAACATTCGAAGCTGGATACACTCATTCTAAAAAAATTATAAAACTTCTTTTCGTCTAATAGCAACTCCCGATATTCAAAAAAAAAAAACTGTCCATCACGATTTCTTAATGAAATGAAAGGACTGATCCAGTACCGTCTTGTGATCTTGCGTCGATTTCGGCGGTGACGTAGTAATAGGAGCAATGCTAGACGTCTTTTCCGATCCATGATTTGCTATAGACTGACTGCGAATTTTTTTCAAAATACTTGCCGCAACTGTGCGTCGCCGCTGCGCCGACGGAACGTTGACTGCGTCATAGTAACGCTGCAGCGCCCGTGTGGCCGGCTATGCGTCAAAATATTTGCGTTGCGACGACGCAACGCAACGCAACGCGCCGTGTGGACACGCTCTAAGGCGTCTGCAGTTCTAGACGTGCGCGTCTACGGTGGTCGCACCGAGGATTTGTCGTTTCTCACACAAAGTGGTGCGAGTGTATACAAAGTGAGCATTGTATCGGGCGGGGTGCCAGTGGCTGACTCATGGGGCAATCGCAGCAGCGAAGTCCGCTCCGCTTCGAGTGATTCCGAAGGTCTCTCCCGTCAGCTGGCGTTGTCTGACGTATTTCCTTCGGGTTGGGAGCGGGGATATGCTCTGGCTCTGGAGACTGAAGTCACGGTATACGACTATCGAGATGGACGGTTCTTTAGCACTTTCGTGCTGCCTATTCCGGAAGCCTGGTGCGGTTCCTACACCGCGAAGGGTTATGTGGAAGTTGCGGCGGATTGGTTAACGCCTCTGACTTGTGGGTCAGATGCTGAAATTGTATCAAAATATAGCTATTAATAATTCTATTAACTTAAGTATATTGTAAACTGTACCTATTGTAACATGAGGTAATATGATTTGTAACGAGCATAATATATAAGTATAGATATTACATTAGATTATAGATCAAATATGTATTGATTCGACAGTCTCTCGCTTGGTCTCGCAAGTGCAATACGCACTTCAATAAACGCTTAATATTAAAGCCTTATTATTTTCTCCTCACGTCCGCCACATATTGGTGACCCCGACTGAAAAAAAAAACACCTGACTGAAGAACAATTATAGGATGGCTACCAATTCTAAACCAGTCGTACAAGCAAAGGAAAATTTACGTGAAGATTCAGAACTGGCAACAGTCAGCGTATCATCGCGAATACCGGAATTTTGGTGCGACCAGCCGCGATTATGGTTCGCCCAGTGTGAGGCGGTGCTAGCTTCTCAAAAATTAGGCGATGAAGCGAAGTTTAACTTGTTGCTTCCGAAATTGGGCAAGCAAGTCATCGAGCAGGTTAGCGACATTGTGCTTAATCCACCAGGAACACATAAATATGAGACCTTGAAAAATCGTTTGCTCGCTGTTTACGAAGAGTCGGAGAACCGACAGTTCCAGAAGTTGCTGGGGGAAATGGAACTTGGCGATCAGAAGCCTTCTCAGCTTCTTAGGCGAATGCGGGATTTGGCTCGTAATAAAATACCTGATGAAACGCTGTGTATCATGTGGCAAGGACATTTACCCACGTCAGTTCGAGCGGTGTTGGCAGTTAGCAAGGTAAAGGATCTAGATAACCTTGCAGCTATCGCTGACAAAATTATGGAGACCACGAGACCTTTACATGCTGCTGAAGTAAATTGTCAAGCTGAAAAATCGGATGATACGTCATTTCTTATGTCACAAATAGCCAAGTTAAGTGTGAAGGTCATGGAACTTGAGAGATCGAGACCAAGGTATCGAAGTACTCGATGTAATTGGAGGCGACGTACTACATCACGCGGACGTTCAGTATCCGAACAACGACGCCGCAGGTCCGAATCATCGAAATGGCTATGTTTCTATCATCACCGTTTCGGCGTTAAAGCAAAGAAATGTGTTGAGCCATGTGCTTGGAAGGAGCAGCCGGAAAACTAGACAAGGTGCAGCCAAGGGTGGATGTCTGCACCATATCGCCGTTCCACCGTTTATGCGTAACCGACTGCAAAAGTGGTATACGTTTTCTTGTGGACACAGGTGCAAATATTTCAGTGTTACCGTACAAAAAACGACTCTATGACAATGTAGTTAGTGATAAATATAAACTTTATGCAGCTAATGGCAGTGAAATAAAGACATATGGTGTTAAATCGTTAGTGTTAAATTTAAATTTACGCCGACCTTTTCGGTGGACTTTTGTGTTAGCGGACGTTAAACAGCCAATATTAGGCGCAGACTTTTTAATCTATCATAAGCTTATAGTAGATTTATATAGTCGTCGACTTATTGATCAAATAACAAATATAGATACTATAACATCGATAGTGCAACACGATGAGTCATCTATTACTACGCTGGATATAAATAATAAATATTACGACTTAATGTTAGAGTATCCCGATATAACGAAACCTATTTGTTTCAAAGATACACCAAGACACTCTGTTGTTCATTATATTGAGACTACAGGACCTCCTGTATTTGCGCGACCCAGACCTTTAGCTCCGGACAAATATCAGAAGGTAAAATCGGAATTTGAAATCATGCAAGACGTAGGCATATGTAGACCATCGAAGAGCTGTTGGGCAAGTCCACTCCACGTAGTCCCGAAAAAGGATGGTGGTATTAGACCATGTGGTGATTACAGGCAATTAAATGCCATCACTAAGCCTGACAGGTATCCGATTCCACGCTTGCAAGATTTTACATATTTACTTTCGGGTAAAAAGATATTTTCGAAGATCGATATAACACGTGCCTATCATTTCATTCTCATCAATAGTGAAGACATAGAGAAGACAGCCATCACTACGCCATTCGGTCTTTTTGAGTTCCCAAGGATGACGTTTGGGCTAAAAAATGCAGCTCAAACATTTCAGAGATTTTTAAATAACGTCGTACTTCAAAATCTTAATTTTATTTTTGTATATATCGACGATGTAATAGTAGCGTCGAAATCTGAATCCGAACATAAGGAACACCTCAGACTAGTATTTGAGCGATTTAATAAATATGGCTTAACTATTAACACTTCAAAATGCAATTTTGGGCAGAACGAAATCGAGTTTCTGGGATACCACGTTTCGAAAGATGGTATTAAACCCTTAGAACAACGAGTTAGCTCTATAATTAATTTTCCTAGGCCTAAAACAATCGAGGAACTGAGACGTTTTTTAGGTATGATTAATTTTTACAGAAGACATCTTCCTCAAGCAGCAGAGATTCAGTCAAAATTAAATATATTTTTACATAACTCTAGAAAAAATGACAAGACAGAAGTAAGGTGGACAGATGAGTCAATTGCGGCATTTGAACAGTGTAAGGAGAGCCTAATCAGCGCCGTTACACTATCACACCCAGCTGCAGACGCGAATATAGCCCTTATGACGGATGCGTCTAAGACTTGCATTGGCGCAGTATTACAGCAACGTGAAAGCGACACATGGAAGCCTTTAGGATTTTTCTCCACTAAGCTGAGCGAAGCGCAAACGCGATATAGTGCTTTCGATAGAGAATTGCTTGCTATCTATATGGCTATAAAGCATTTCAGATATTTGATCGAGGGACGCCCCTTAACAGTCTACACAGATCATAAACCACTCGTTTATGCTTTGAAAAAAAATTCTTATACAGACAGCGATACACCGCGTCGATTAAGACATTTCGATTTTATAATGCAATTTTGTTTGAATATTGAACATATTAGTGGATCTCAAAATATTGTTGCTGATACGTTATCACGAATTTCGGAAATTAATATGCCATCATACATCGACTACAATGCTCTTAGTGAAGCTCAGGAAAAAGATAAAGAATTACAAGTATTATTAAAATCTAAAAATTTATGTTTTAAAAAGTTTCAACTTCATAACAGTCAAGAATCAATTTACTGTGAAGATTTAAAACATTTCGCACGACCATATTTGACTAAAGAATTCCGAGTGCAGGCTTTCAACGCCGTACATGGATTGAGTCATCCGAGTATAAGATCAACTAGAAAGATGATATGCGATAAATTCTTTTGGCATTCTATGAACAAAGATGTTGCTAACTGGGCTCGAGCATGTATAGATTGTCAGAAATGTAAAATACATAGGCATACAATATCACCTTTTGGTAAATTGCCAACAAGCAATCGTTTTGAACATATACATATTGATATTGTTGGTCCATTACCACTTTACAAAGGATACAGATATTTAATTACGATGTTAGACCGAGCCACGGGTTGGCCGGAAGCTTTTCCCTTAAGAGACATAACAGCTGAGGCTGTTGCAGAGAAAATATATTCAGGATGGATTTCACGTTTTGGTTGTCCTTTACGAATTACGACTGACCAAGGAAGACAGTTTGAGTCAAATCTTATCAATAAATTATCTAAGCGCCTTGGTATTATGAAAGCTCGAACAACTGCTTACCATCCACAGGCAAACGGTGCTGTCGAACGTTGGCATCGTTCTCTTAAGGCATCGTTGATGACTAGAGGAAACAATAATTGGGTTCAGGAGTTACCAACTGTACTACTAGGCTTAAGAGCAAGCCTAAAAGATTGTACGCAAACCAGTGCAGCGGAGATGGTTTATGGCAGTCCAATTAAGCTACCCGGAGATTTTTTTGAGCCTACAACGCCACTAAATTCCGATAGCGAGACATTTTTAAAGCAACTGAGAGAACATATAAGTAATATTTGTTCAGTACCCAAACGAGAGAAATCACAGAAAAATATATTTGTTCACCCTGAATTGCAAAAATGCTCTCATGTATTTTTACGGTGCGATAAATTATGCAAGTCCTTAAATCCACCATATTCAGGACCATACAAAGTATTAGACCGTAAAGAAAAACATTTTAAAATATTAATGGCAGACAAAGAATCTACTGTTTCTATTGATAGATTAAAGCCAGCATTTTTATTAAATAATAATGAAGAGTTTGATACGCGGGATAGCACTAGTATCGAAATTCCAAACAAGGAGACACATGTAAATAATAAAGTAACGCGATCCGGCCGAATCAGCAAGCCAGTAGTAAGATTCCGAGATCAATTTATTTAAAATCTGCATCTTGATGAAGTTATACACATTCACATTCTCTAATTATATTGCCAATAATTATAATGGGTTATAATCAGAGCAAAGAAGAAAAGAGGGAAGAAGTGATAATCGCCCAAATGGGAGGAAATAATACTTCGCAAATTAAAAGTTATATATATTTCGGCTTATTATTTTTAATAATCCTTATTGTAATCACGTTTGGAATATACAGATATTGCCGAAGGAAATTTAGAGAGACTATAAGGAAGGAAATGCAGAGCATGCCAGATTTAACTGCTGCAGTATAATGTTTAAAGTGCCAGTGTACGTCTTAGTTAAAAAGTGCAAGTGTATAATGATATGTTAAACACATAATTTCGAGTAGTGCAGTGAATAATTATGCTGAATAGGTAAAAAATATCATGTTCGAAAAAATAATTTGTGATAGATGTAAGGAAACTGTAATAGCATGTAATTATGATATTTTTAGGTATTAATAATATATTTTTTTTGCAAACTATATTTTATGTTTAGAATTTAATTTTATACATTTTACATTTTTTTTGCGTTAAAATGTATTCATTTTTCTTAATTTTTTACTTATTTTTTTTAAAAAGGGGGGAATATTGTACCTATGTAACATGAGATAATATGATTTGTAACGGGCATAATATATAAGTATAGATATTACATTAGATTATAGATCGAATATGTATCGATTGTACAGTCTCTCGCTTGGTCTCGCAAGTTCAATACGCACTTCAATAAACGCTTAATATTAAAGCTTTATTATTTTCTCCTCACGTCCGCCACAGCTATATACGGGCATCAAAGCTTGGACTCGCAGACAAATCGCTTTCGTAACGAGGTCTGCCCAACCAGTTCAGGTGGAACCTACACCTGTATCTCCACAAGTAATCTATGCGTGATTAATTTAGTGTTAAAATATATAATCAGTGAATAAAGTTAGGATATAATACTAAATGTCTCTGTTATTATACTTAGTAAGCATTCCACCAGGCGCTCGCAGTGTAATATGAGATGCATGTTATTGTTTGTATTCTATATCGTAATGTAACGACACTGTATTTTTGTTCTGTATTAGAATAAGATTTTAATGTATTATGTACGTAATATTTTTTTGAAATATGCTACGAAGCTAATTATTTTATGCATAAAAGTACAACTCATGCGAATTCAGTTGCAAAAAAATAAAACTCTAAAGTCTTTTTTTTTAGAATTTTTTAAAGATAGTCAAGTCAAAATTTCTCAAAAAATCTAAAAAAATTCATAACTTCTAAATTATAAAAAATCGCGTAACATACATGGGGGTGATTCGTATACCCCACAACATACCGGACCTAATTTTTTTTTTATGACGTCAATTGACCGGCCACCCTGTATAATGGCTTGGAATGCGCCGTCTCGCCAGCCACGGGGAAATCGGGGAGCGAACGGTCGCATCCTTATTTTTAGTATATAGTATATACCGTAAATTGTGAAAGAAATAATACACATATACAGGTGTCCCAGAATGAATGGATAATCCTGGAGCGCCTAATAGTACGGCTATCAAGCGCTCTAATAAAAATACACAAAAAAAATCCAAGTGGTGCTAAAAATATGAGGTTTTTAAGAAAAATACATTTTTATTGACCTTACTCTACTTTCATGTACACCACGGCCGCAAATTAATGAAATTTGTTGTTATCTTTTTCCTCATAGACTATACTATTAGAAATGCAGTAAAGAGTATGAGTATCTATTGTACTTTTTCGGAAAAAAAAATATGAACTTCAATTTTTATAATGTTCAATTTTTAGCATGAAATTTGATAAAAAAACAATTTTGACAAAGTTTGAGAGCCATTCGTGAAAAAAAAAGTATGAAGACCTAAGCAGCCAACTATTTCAAAAATATGTGCAGTTAATACAGATTAAGGTCAATAAAAATGTATTTTTTTAAAAAACCTCATATTTTTGGCACCACTTGGATTTTTTTTTGTGTATTTTTAATAAAGCGCTTGATAGCCGTACTATTAGGTGCTCCAGGATTATCCATTCATTCTGGGACACCCTGTATATATCACTCACTAAACATTTATTTGCCCCGATCCCGTTTCCTCAATACCATTAACAAGTATTGTACCATTTTACAATCCTGATTAAATGCGCTAACTTTTAACGGCACTTGCCAAGGCGCTCTAATAAATTTTTTTTTAAAGGAGGACCTTTCAAAGTTGACAAATTTTGAAAATTTTAAATTCATAGTTTAACAAATAGTCTTAATTCTAGGAAACTTGGGGCAATTGTGTCATTATTTTTGACTGTGATTCCAGAAATGTTATTTATCGGGTTACGGTTCCAAAGTTTAAATGAACAAAAATAATAAAAATTAACCACAATAACCGAAAAATGATTACAGTGTGACCAAATTTTTAGGTTTTTCTTAAATGCCTATAATTTTCAAACTGCATGGGGTAGATTTTATTTCTGATTTTTTTCATGATGGTTACTATCAATCCTGTCGCCCTGTTTCGGCTTGACGTTGAGTTCTGGGACACCTGTATAACGAAGAGAAAATGGGAAGAAATCGCAAGCGAATTAAAATACAATGGGCGGCGCGATAAAGGACGCGAAAGCTTGGGCAAAGGTAAAAGATATAAATAATATGCAGTATAAATTTAGTCCAAACCACTAAGGTTTATAATCTGTGGGTTTTAACTTTACCAGTGCATACATGTTATAATGTATTTTTTAAGTATGGGCGGATAAAAAAATCAATTAAAAAAAGCTTATAGCAGAAAGGAAGGCTTCTATATCAGGTACTGGTGGTGTTGGTGGTGGCGGAAGGACCGCTTGCCACCTATCCCTGAATTAGATGGGCGATTTATTGCATTATTGGGCGGCGCTAGCTTTGCAGACGGTGACCAAGAGTTTCGTGTTCCTCTAGTAAGTTTCTGCTAAAATTAGTGTTGCCCAAATTCAGTCTTGGTCTTGCAGTCTTGGTCTTGTTCTTGCGTTTTTGCAAGACCAAGAACAAGACCGCGTATTTTTAGCAAGACCAAGACCAAGACTGACCGTGCAAGACTTGAGCAAGAACAAGATATAGCCTGCAAGACTCTTGCGTCTTGCAGCTAGGACTTAGCGCTATTTTACTGAGTAGTTAGGTGTAACAGTTCGGTGTATAGGTAGGTACGCTTAGGAATTCTATGAGACGCAAAAAACTGTATCAAAGAATATGAAAAACTGGACCTATGCGCATTACGACTAATACCATAAACATAGCGAATAAAAAAATTATTAAAATCAAACTGAGTGCATGCATAGTTATGTTTTAACCATCGGCACTTTGATAATGCGGCATCAAAGGTTTTGTACTTACTTCTCAAAGAAATTTGCCGCTTTTCGGAAGTACATGGTTATGATACACGCGCCGGCGGCTTCTTTTGAAATCTAAAACAATCGTTGCCGCCACGCCGAAATCATAACATTTGACACTATTTGATTGCCGCCATAGGGCGTAGGTATACTCATGCAAAATAAGGGCCTGTCCGCACTGCGATATTTCACCGCGCGATTTTTATTCTCGCGTATTATATTCCGTGATCGAAATTGTACTTATTACGCACTGCGAATAAAATTTCGTACGATTTTTGTCAGTTTGATGCAGTTCCCGACTGAGACAAACGTCTAAAATGATAAATCTACTATATCTACTGAGACATTTTAGTAATCTAAAATGATGTTTTTCTACATTAAATATCAAGAGCTGCGAAAATACAGTAAAAAGTTTTTCGGATATTACAGAATGACTACAAAATCATTCGATAAACCAATAGCGTCGGTGCACGACTGAGCGAAACGCGCGAATTTTATTTCGCAGTGCGGCCATAGCCATACATATTATATACTGTACAAAACTTTCGCGCGGAAATAATCCGCGCCGCATCGCGTTCAATTTGCATCAAATCACAGATTTTTTTTCCGCGCGAATTTTTAACCGCCAGTGCGGATACTCCTATAAGATTCATTGTGTTACAGAATTGCGGGAATAAAAACGTGCGGTGAAATATCGCAGTGCGGACAGGCCGTAATTTCGAATTTTTTTACACGCTTTATATTATTGTTTGATTTGCGGCGGCATCCTTATCATAGAGCCGGCACGTGGCGAGGCGGCGCGGTAGAAAGCAAGGAAACGTACTATAAATAAAGGAATTATTTTAATTCCAGTCATTTCCAATTGAGCTGTGCTTCGAGTCTAACTTAATAATTGTTTTTACTAATTCTCGTTGTTTTCTAAAAACGTATCACGTGTACAATTTAATATGAGTGACGAAGATTCAAATTATTCTAGTCCGAGTAACGAGAGTTTGAGTCACAGATCTAAAAGACCCAAAAGCAAATTTGAGGAATTTTTCGAAATAATTCATGCATCCCAAACTGCCTTCTGTAAATTGTGCCAACATAAAAAGATTGAAATAAAAATGAAAAACAGAAACACTTCAGGCTTAAGGAAACATCTAATATCTTTCCATAAAAAGGAATCAGAAATATTTCTTCCTGTTAAACCAAAATTCAGTGGAGATATCACAAGCTTTTTAGTAACCGCTGGAAGAAGTGGACAGGTAAGAATATTTATTTAACAGTTAAAAGAATTTTAACTCCGCGTAGCTATTCATGCGATACTTTCAAAAACGCCATTAACTTACGTAAGTACACTGATAGAAGGATTTTTTTGGGAGTAATAAATCAATTTATTACAAACTTTTTAAGGTATCTTTTTGGATGGAAGAAATATTTTTTTACTGTTACCAACACTTTTTAGGATTAATTAAATCGCTTTTTTATTAAAACAAAAATTTTTTTACTGTTAAAAAGCTTTAATGTATTGAAAAAATTATTTATTTCCACCAAATAAGATTTGTATACGGTTAACAAATATTTTATTTGTGGTCATTGTTGATAGATGGCGGCACTCATGCGTAGCTTTGTATGTATATATAATAGCCATCGTATGCCTTCCACGTTTCCAATGACTCTGAGAATAATCATGTATTTGGTTTTATTACTGCAATTATATCTGATGGCAAAACTATTCATATTTCTTCCAAAAAATGTGTAACTATTGGACTCAATCCCCATATAAAAAGCTATCAATTAATATTACCGAAAACAAACGATCCAGAAAACTTTATCCTATCAATTTTCGATGAATATTTTAAACCGTTAAAAATTCATGTATCGTCAGATGGCTCTTATGTAATATCTCAAAGAAATTTGATTTATTGACTCGTATACGAATACCAACGTATTTAATCGATTATATCGATTATAATAGTGATTATTTTAATTTTAAATGTATACCGTTGTCATAAAAAAATGAATTATATACTATTAATCAATTCATTATTTATTATATTTTAACTTTATTCGTTTCACAAAATTTCTAATTCTCTGTAATTTTAATAATTAGAACAATGAACGTAATGTTCAAGGGATTTTTTGAATATTAATAAATTATTTTTTATATGTCAATAAATCATTTATTACATACAATAAATATTTTGTTGGCAGTAAAAAATATCCGCTAACAAATGATTTATTAACTGCTAATAAATATTTATTAGGAGTCTTCTCTCTAACAAATCATTTCTTAACTGGTAACAAATCTTATTAGGTACAAAAAAATCCTTCTATCAGTGTATTTTTGAGTTAGTGGTGTTTTCATCTAGGGGTGCGACATATTAAGTATGTAATTATCGTCTTAAATATTTTTTATAAACACCCATATTTTCATTTAATCGGCCAGTAACAACTAAGTACTTTATTTTGGTAAATTACAGTACAGTGCAACCTTAATATAACAAATATCAATTTAACGATTTTCTCGATTTAACAACAACAAACCTCCTCCTCTTATACGCTCAAACCTAGTATGTTTTAAATAATAATACAAGATTTATTGTTTTGTTTAAGTCGGAAAACAGCAGTGACAACATCACGACAGCTACAGTTGATTGGGTGGTGAAAAAATATCTTCCCTTCTCATTTTTCGATGACGAAGCTACACAAGTATATTTTCGACGTATTTGCCCTAATATGGTGTTTCCTAAAAGGTCTACACTTAGAAGGAAAGTCAAAGAGCGATTTGAAGAGCTCCAATTGAATCTCAAGGAACGACTTCAACAATTATCATCTAAAATGTCTTTTACCATTGATGGGTGGACGTCAATTGCTGGTAGGAGTTACTACGGGGTTACTATTCATTATATAGACAACGAATGGAAGTATCAATCTGTAGTTCTTGATTTTATACCATCACGCGGTCGACATACTGGGGAAGATATTGCAACGATTTTCCATGAATGTTTATTGGAATATGGCATAATTGATAAAATACAAGGTATCACGGTCGACAACGCAACTGCAAATACCAAATTTATGTATGAACTGGGCAAACAGCTGCCGCCACACTTTGATTCAGACAATCAACATTTCCGGTGCTTTGCTCACATTTTAAACCTTGGTGTACAAGATTTATTAAAGACCTTAGCATTACACTGTGAGTCTGACACTAACGCGCAAGATCAGCAGTACGAAGACTATGCAGACGAAACTGAGGATGAGGAAGATGAAGAATCTGCACCAAATATTGCTGACTCGCGTACATCTGTAACAAAGTTACGCAGTATTTCCAGTAAAATAAAAAGAAGTGAGATAGTCAAGAAGAAGTTTCAGTCTGCTTGTGAAGCAGCTGGCGTGCCATCAAATCTAAATGCCATTCTTGACTGTCCAACGAGATGGAATTCCACACATGATATGATTGGATTTGGTTTAAAAGTGAGAGCGGGCATTGACATATTGTGCAGTTCTGTCACCGAATTAAATGATTTTCAAATCACAGCTAATGAATGGCAGGTACTCGAAAAATTACATAAATTTCTAATAAACTTTAAACTTTTAAGTACAAAACTTGGTGGAGACAAATATGTTACATTACCGCTAGTCATTGTATCATTCAATCTCTTGCTAGATAAAATTGAATCCATGGTAAAACAGTTAGATGAGAAACCTAATCGATCTGAAGTGGATGAAAGGCTCATTCTAGCTTTCCAAGCAGCTCGAGACAAAATGCTTAAACATTACAAGAAGAGCAACTGGATTTATTGTACTTCTTTAATTTTAGACCCAAGGCATAAGGCTCAGACTTTTGACCTGACAATGTGGGGGAAGCAACTTAAAACAGAAAGTCTGCGCAAGTTCAAGGAACTTTATGAAGAATATAAAAGTCTACACTCACTGAACAAATCTCTGGAATTACCAGAAAAAAAAATGAAGTATGTGATGAAGATGAAGACGTAATAGACTTTGATAAACTCTATGAATGTCCCTCGACGTCATCTGGATCTTGTCTTCAAGGCTTAGTGATAGACGAGTTGGAGGAGTACCTGAGAAAACCAAGAACTGCCAGCTCGGAAGACATTTTAGATTGGTGGAGGACGCATGAGACAGAGTATCCGATTTTATCGAAAATGGCCCGTGATTTTCTCTCAATACCTGCAACTTCAGTACCTGCTGAGAGGTTATTTTCTAAAGCATCATTAGTAATTAGAAAACATAGAAATAGGTTAAGTGATGAGTCAGCCAGATGGTTACTTTGTATTAATTCTTGGTCAAAAAAATTGATATAAAGTATCATAACCTAATGATAAAGCTGTTGATTTGTGTTGTATTTTATTTTTTATTCAAATAAATGATAAATCGTAAAACTCTTTTATTAAATTTCTTATAAGTTGAGGGTTCAATCTCTTTTTAGACAGATAAGTATTGTTCTTTAAAATACAGTCAAGTTATTGTAATTAATTTGTTTTTTTACATGTTTTAGCAAATGTAAGCTTATAAATCATAAATGTTTATTAAGAAACAGTTACTTCCATGGAAAACGACATATAGGTCAGTTGATTTTTCGAATTTCTTATCAAATCTTCAGTTATTTATTAATCTGCTTGATCTTTACTATGGCTATATTCATTCAAGCTCACAATGTTCCAATTCTAATACGTTTTTCTAGGATTTAAAGTAAACTTTAATAAATAGTAATAGACTAATAGGTAATTGCAAGACTTGCAAGACTCTTGCTGCAAGACCAAGACCAAGACCAAGACTGGGAGCGCAAGACCAAGACCAAGACCAGGTGTATTGGCGCAAGACCAAGACCAAGACTGGCTAAGTCTCGTCTTGTTCTTGCGTTTGGGCAACACTAGCTAAAATATATGTATCTCACAAATACTCGTACTTTAAATGTAAAATTATATTCGTTTCCAGGTTTTGTTTAGAATAATTCTCATATTTTAAATCATTTAAAGGAACAAGAAGATCCTATCCCTGCAGGGACTCTCCAGTACATAGAGGAAAGCGACGATGCCATGATTCAACGTTCACCTGGCAGTTCAAACATGACAGAGCCAAACATAAATCGAACTCCTTCCAGTAAGTATAAATTAACATAAAGAATTATATATCATTATTTACTATATTGTACGCTATACCCAATATTGTGTCATCAACTTCAACTTCACGGGCAAGCAGTTGGTTATTATTATTAATCACCATCTTGAAGAAATTACTTGGTTACTATATTGAAGACTGAATACGAATAAATAAAGAGAAAATTAAAACAAGTATTTATAGCAAATACCCAACCCAACATCAGAAGTTGTTGCATATAACCTAGGTTTCACGCTGACCAATCTAGAACAACCAAATAAGGAGCGAAAGTGACAGGGACGCGACAACGGACGTACGGTAAAAAAAGGGCAAAAAGGAAGGGCCACTAATATATAAGGCTAAATAAATCGAACGAATGCACAGTCGACATGAACAGCAAGCAAGTGTACTACTACCACATCATCACCAACGCAGACATCGAGGAAGAATTAACAAAGAGTAAGCAAGCATATCCTAATGTACATTATAAAAATGAAACGTGTTATGATAAGTGCGGACTCAGACGACTAGACTCAGTGCAGTCAATTGAAACGACAACCGATGACGACGACACAGAGAGAGGACGTAGTGGGAATATACGATTGGAAGAAGATACGGGAAGAAAGAGCAATGAATTATGTGCTGGAGCAGAAGGGATTGGGGTCATTGAAAGCGATGGCGGATATAGTCAGATGGCGAAATGGACAAACGAGAAGATACTCTATCGGGGGAGGCAGCTTAAAAAGGCCTGGAACAAACAGTGGAAACATGGAAGGACCAATATATCCAGTCGGTACGTATATCAGAAAGCCTGAAGATGAAGTGTCAGCAGTTTATAACGGACCTTACAAACTCATCGCTTACCATCAAGGAACAAGAAGATGACATTGGCACCTCATATACATCAGTCATAATAAACAGTGGGGATTTAACTCTCGACTGGGACGAATTATTCGAGAAAAAACCTACAAGACAACAAGCATTAATTGCCTGTCTTGTCTACGCGAGTATCTTTATTCCGGCAATGGTCGTCAAGTACTACAAGACATTATCAGCGACGAACATATTGAAACTTGTAAGTGCGCCGGTCATTCGTGTGGAATGGACGGGTGTGATACATGGACAAAAAAAATTACGAGGCTGAATGTACCGAAGGGGGAAATTCAATATTTCGAAATGAAAGCCCAACAATACAAGAAGCACAGCCAGGATTGGCGGATGGAACTAGTGAAACCGATGATGATCTTACGAAAACGACTTTGGAACGGAAATAAAATACCACGCAAAGACGGGGAAATTTTACACGGACGGCAAAGCAATAATCTCCAACATGTCAGTAGAAAAAATCGCAATTGTTATGACAGAAATACAGATATCATATCAATGAAGTTGTGTGTTAAGCCCTCTCGAAAATGATTACAGCTTCAAGACGTAGTCCACGTACAAGCACAGCTCGGCGACTACATCGAAGCCAGCTTAACATAGAGCGACAGTTCAGTAGTACAGAGACAGGCTTATCTCGATAGAAGAAAAAAGGTGGAAGCTGAGCTCGTTAATGCTGCAGGATGCGCGAAAGCTCCAGAAGCTATTAATAGTTTAGCCAACCCCATAAGTGATGTGGGGAAGTGAAGTGCGGAAAAATTGCCGTAGTACTACAAAAATAATAAAAAATGTTTTTTTTTTTGTAATACTTTTTTGTACTACGTTTTAAGGTCGATTTATATCTACAGACATTGAGTGTGGCAGACAAAATGATATTCTTCCATACAGTAACTATTAACGTATTTATATCTATCGTAACACGGCCGTACAGACGCTTACAGACACGTGTCGTGCCCGGCCAGTATTCTCGGAAAGAATATTTTGTCTGCGCGGTTCATGTCTGTACCTGTCTGTGGCTCCTTGCCACAGATCGGAACTGCGTACACGTGCTTTCTTTTTTATTTTGCATTTTTACAATGGATAACGAAAAGCTCATAGAATTTGTACGAGATTACAAATACCTTTATGATTTAAGTGATATGATGATGTTCTCCTAGCCGATTCCGGCCACGGCGGCCAATCTCAATGAGATTAGCCAACTGCGCAGGAGATATTATAGTGCTCAAGTGTACGCGCAGACACAAGTGCACTCTCTATTCCTATCACTCTCATACTCCGGTGGGACGACCACTCGACACGACCGGTGAGAGTTAAGGCGCAGGACCGACGGCTTTACGTGCTCTCCGAGGCACGGGGGTGAAACACCGCCAACTTCCCAACTCCGGGCTGTTACTGAGACTTACTATACAGGAAGACTCAATAACTAAAGTTGGCCCGACCCGGGACTCGAACCCAGGACCTCCGGGTGTGCAGCCGTACATGCTAGCCACTACACCACCGAGGCAGTTGTTTGCGAGAAAGAGTACGACGTTATAGCGTAGAAACAACCATATTTCGCAAAAAGCGTGGCAAAATCCGCGTGGGTCTATTATTGCACGATGAGCTTATATGCTCGTCTTATCACACTGAAACAAGAGGAAGGTTCGTCAACATACGACGAAGATTCCTTTGCCGGACAGGTTCTCTCAGGGAACCATCATTTACCTACACCGATCGAGTCATATATTAAGGCACTTGGACACGTTGTTGACAACGCGTCCATAAGATATAAGTTGGCATTGCCTGCTTGGCCTGAGGAAGATGGCACGTTTGGAAGGATGGGCCCGTTGACACATTGGAAGTATATGTCGATGCCTTGCCCCCTAGTATGTAGGCAGCGTATCCAGGAAGATATGCGTGTCACGGCAACACCAGGAGTGAGAGAGTGGAACCTCCCTGTCGGTATAAGACCTATCGAAGAAGGAGCAGGTACACCTACCCGCAATTGTTTAGGATGGGCTAGAGCAGCCACCCTGACAAATGACCAAGTAGCATTCTTAGAGAGTGCGAACGTCATGGAAGATGCATTCCCGGCGAAATTTCAGAGATTTCAATACAGTGTTAAGTGATAAAAGGTATATTGACAATCAGAAAAAGGATCAGGCGTGGAACGAAATAGGAATAAAACTTAATAGTAATGGTGTTTATTATTAAATTATTATTAATTATTAAAAGGGAATAGTGTATTTTACACTGATATTTGTAAAAAGTGTATTTGTAAAATGATTATTACTAAAATGATCAATCGGCAAAACCATTGTTTTATTGTTTATATATTTAATTGTTTTAAGTGTCATTTTATCAAATTACTTTTGGTCAAACGACAGGACATCGATATAATCACCTAGTAGTTTAACGCTCCTTCGGGTGAATCGAACCTAGCAAAATTCTCTCTGACATTAAATGCGGCTACCTGATGATTTCCACCCTGTCTAGGTAGGTTTGACAAAGAATATGATGCAATAATGTCTTCTTCATTATGTGAATGCTGAGAACCACCAGATTTTATATAATTATGTAAGATACACGTCGCCATAATAACATTGTTTGCATTATCTGGATCAAGTTGTATTCTCCTGTTATAGATACGAAATTTTTGAGACAAAATCCCAAATGCATTTTCGACAACTTTTCTTGCACGAGATAGTCTTTCGTTGAATATATTTTTTCTTTGGTCACCTAGTTGAGGTTTAGGATATGGTCTCATTAGATAAGTTGTCAAAGGGAATGCTTCATCTCCTATGATAACATATGGCGCTGTAATTTCAGTGCCAGGTAAATTTGTGCTTTCTGGAACGTTAAATGTGTTTGAAATTAATGCTTTTCCGATGTTTGAATTTGAAAAAATACCTCCGTCACTGTTTTTTCCATAAGCGCCGACGTCGACACATATAAACTTGTAGTCAGCGTCCACAATTGCCATCAACACGATTGAAAAAGTTTTTTTATAGTTAAAGAACTGAGATCCAGAGTTTGCCGGAGCAGTTATTTGAACGTGCTTGCCATCAATGGCTCCTATACAATTTGGAAAATTCCAAGAATTCCAAAACTCCTCTGCGATTTTTTGCCACTGTTCTTTTGTAGGGACAGGCATTGTTTCACTCATCAGCCGTTCTATTATTGCACTGCAAACCTCTTTCACTATCTTGTGTACAGTGCTTACTCCTAGTCTATAACTATATGCTATAGAAACGAAGGAGTCCCCAGTAGCCAAAAATCTGCAAAGAAAACAATATGATATTATGATTATGATATTTGTTTTCCTTGTTTCAGGAAATGAATGTAAAAAAGCATGGGCACTGTTGCGAGATGCCTTCAGACGCTCTCATAAAAAGAAAAAAGATACGAAAAGTGGACAGGCTAGTGTTCATGAAAAAAATGGAGGTACGAAGAAGAATTGTCTTTTTTGTTACCGTACATGAAAGAAAGACCGACTAAATGTCCAATTCCACCTGTACCCGGTTTTAATGATTATGCACACGAGGAAGAGGTTGCTCAGTCACCTGAGGTTGAGCAACAAACGACTGACACATTTACACCTGAGGTTAGTCAACAACAGTTGGTACATTGCCAACTACACCCTCCCCAGCTCAAACTCCAAAGCACCCTCAGCCAAAGGGTAAACGAGGCCAAAAAGCAACTGATGAAACACCTAGTACTGTACTAATGAGGTATATAATAGAGAGTAAAAATAATACTCCACCGCCGGACGACATCGAACAAGTTATGGCTGGAGTTGTAACTACATTGCGATCTTTTCCGCCCAGAGAGAGGGCTATTGCAAAAGCAAAGATATTTAAAATAGTATCTGACATGGAAATAGACATACTGAGCAGGCCATCAACGAGTTCTACGGTATCCACGCCATCAACATGATGACATATGAAGACAATACTCCTATGCCAGAAACAATACAAGATTTTTACCAAGGTTTTCAGCCAGATCTTACTGACGAAAGGGTGTATCGGCACTTAGAATAGTATTCCACTTTGTTTACACAATAATAAATAATTCTGTAATATATCTTACCTGAGACATACTGCTAGTTTTTCTTTTGGTGACAAGGCTTCCTTAAAAACTGTATCTTGTTTGGTTATCAGCAATTCCATTTTGTTTAGTAAAATGTCAAACTGGTATCGGCTCATACGAAAATATATGAAATTTTTCTTTTTCATCGTCAACAAGTTCTTTAAAGAGTGTCCAGTATTCTCCTTCTAATTTTCTTTTCTTAAGCATAGGATGTACAGCCATGCGTTTTGCTCTTTTTTTAGTTTTATCTTCTTCTTCTAACAATAATGGAATTATGGACAAATCTTCAACAGAGAAGTGTTTGAACATTTTCAATAACATGCTTTTTCTTCTAAAGCTATGCAGTAACTGCCAGTGAGAGCGGACGCCGATGACGGTGTCTGTCGGTATCCGGGGTGTCTGTCACGGCACGTTTCTATACGTTACATATAAATAAATGGTGTCTGTCGGTGTCTGTCACGGCACGTGTCTGCCACACTCAATGTCTGTAGATATAAATCGACCTTTAATAGTACTCTGTGACGTAAAAGACACCTCCATCTTGCTTTTAAGAGCCCGATTGTATGCTCTATTGTGTTTCTAGCGGAACACTGTCGTGTACTTTTCAGGTGATCCAACTTCTGCATTGATAATAGAAGTCATCATGTATGGTGTGCTTCGTCGAAAAAAGCGTAGCTAAGCGATCCATAATAAAGAAAAATATTCAATCTATAAGTGTTTTTTTTTGCTATCGCCAATTTTGACATGAGATGCCGCGACGGAAGAATGGCAGAACGTACCCCAATAGAGAGTGGTGACCATCGTGACGTCCATGAAGGATCGGATGGAAGCTGTCATCAAAGCAAGGGGAGGAAACACTAAATTTTAAGGACTTATTTGTAATTTTTTTTAATGTTTTTAATTTTATTTTTTGTAACTTTGTCCCTTTTTAAGTTTTTTTAAATTAAAATATTTAAAACATATACACAAGTTTTTCATTTCTAATAGGCAATTAAATTACCATTCCAATGATATCCTACAACTATACCCTTACTAATGACAAAGTTTGAGTAAAAATATTATAAAGTTGCTTTTTTAAAAGGAGCGATTTTTATGACACCGAGTGTATATAAAATAATATCATTGTGGATATATACATACATGTGGACAATACATGTGGAATCTTATGAAAAGATATAATTTAATTAATATTTTCAAATATTGTACTAACGCGCGCACTACTTCCGGCTGACAACTTCCTTTATTTGTTTGTTCCGGTAAAAAGGGTTGGAGGGAGGTAGCGCGCGCGCAGTGGACAGTTAGATTGTCGACAGTCGAGTTGAGTAGACGTTAGAAAAGGCATTATAAGTCATAGTGTGATTTGTGAAGTTTCATCAATATGTAAGTATAATAAATTGATTTAATTGTGGAAAAGTGTTTTAATTACCTGAGCTTTGAAACAAGCGAGAATCATATATCAGGAGTAATACCATTTGATCATGAGTACTGCAACCGTAAAATATATTTATGATACCAATAAATTAAGCCAAAAATATTTGTTTTATTTTAAGTACCAGATTTTTCTTTAGTAGGTTTTTGATTAGGAATTTGATATACAAGTAATTAGATTATTTTTCGCATTTTATATGATTATTAAAAGCTCACACTTGCGTCGGTAAAAAATGGTATGTATTAAAATTTGAATTTTCAATCATAATATTATGTAAGCCGAAAGTATATGTATAGTGGCAATACTGTTAATAAGACAACCAACCTTTTTTTGTTTGTTTTTATCGTTAGGAAACCCTGTTGCCGGGTACCCGCCGCTTGGGGAAGAACGACGGGTTGTGTGGGGCTCCTGCCGCGCAAAGATGGTAAACGCACGATAGCCTGCACTAAAACCTGACGGTTTCCGAGGCCACGGGAACCAGAAAATTATCCGCGAACCCCGACGGCAATTGCCTTACGGCACGTCTCAGTGTCGGAGCGAGAGGACATCTACTATGACAACCATCTGGAATCAACGTGTCATGACAACGTAGTGCGTATGCCTGGCGACGGAGCTTGTGCGTACAGAGCTATGTTGTACAACCTCGGACTGGACGCGACTGACGTAGAGTTAGTCAATGGTGAAGTGATTGATGCCTTCAGATTTGTGTTATACTCACTTGCCGACAAGCCGGAGGAACACGGTAACATGTTGTTGCCGTATGCTGATGGTGCGGGTTAGGGTAATGACACAAATTTTGCATTGCTGTGTAGGTTAATAGACGCCCGTCTGTGCGTACACATGCGCAAGGGGACCATTACAACTCCAACGACAGGTTATACGGAGGTACATAAATTAACCGGTAATGAGATGATCCACGTCGTGTGGCAGCTGGGTGACGATGGCGTTGGAATGCATGTGGACGCCATAGATGACGGAATTGGTGAGGAGATGCGCCGTAAGCGCCTTGAAAAACTTGTGGAGATAGCTAACGGAAAAGCTATAAGCGAATGTCAGTGTCAGGGACGCTCTCGATCCTTACGGTAGATTGACGGAGGTGTTGCGTGACAATGACTTGGGTAATTGTTTCTTGAATCGAGGTGGTGTCAAGTTGGCGCAGATGCTCGTTGATAATGAGGATGCGGTGGCTATTTTGACTAGCGAGAGGTGTAATGTGCTCGATTTAGGCGCCGCACCCGGGGGCTTCTCCTCTGTGATCCGTAAGGCAGCCCCCCACGCTGCGATAACAGCTGTATCGGTGGACGGTGGGGTCGCACGCGACGCGCGATTAGATGAACACGTTACGTGGGTAACGTCTGACATCTTTGACTTAAAACCGGACGGGTTGAGCGGTCCTTTCGACATTGTCGTTGCTGATGCCGCGACGTCTGATTCTTACACAAACCCAAAACTATTTAATAGAGAGGTAGAGTTGGCAATTTCCGTGCTGGCTGGTGGAGGTATGATGATTATAAAATCAAATAACCTCCTACGTGATGATTATGTCGTTGCGATGTGAATCTGTGTCGAGTTCGTATAGTGCAGTGAGCGACAGGAGTGACTTAAAGAAAGGAAAAAGGAAGACGCACATTATTCACCGGTCTGTAAACTATCACGCCTCCCCGACGTATGTTGGATCAAAGGTGGGTACTTTGAACGGCGTGGTGAACAACGAACGCACTATTGAGGTCGTACATACAGAACCACAAAAATGTAAGGAGGAGACTCGTCGCACGGCCTCATTAATCGTGGCGATAGAAGCAGCGGGAAAGTGCGTTGTTCGCGAAGTTGGTGCGGACGGCACGGGTGTGACGAGCGGTAAATCGTATAGTCGTTCTAAGACGCTGGTTTCATACGGAGTTAGGATGAGGTCGAAGTGTATACAATGTGATGAGTCCAGTATCGGGGATAATGTTGACTCGACTTCAGAGCGCCTCGTTCTAACTAAGGCCGTGGGGCAGACGTCTAGGTTCTTCAAAGATAATACCGACAATGAGAGTTGTGTCTCTTCGTCCTACAGCTCGGTTTGTGATGTTTTGTCGCTATCCACTGTGGGAGGCAGAGGTTTATGCAAACGCCCCATAGCCTTGTTTGGTGACGAGGACGTGCCTGTGATATATTTCTCGTATTGCGATACATCAGGTACAGGAAAGGTATTGATCTCTCCGGGTTTAGCCATTATCATCGAAATCAAATGCCCATTACCCATTCTCGACCACTGTGCCATTTTGGGAACACTTCATAAATTAGGGCTTATTAAAAAACAGGGTATCATGCCTAGTAAATTTTTACTTTGTTGTGTAGTCGAAAGTATGATTGTTAGTTGTAACTTTGAATGACTCTACAACACATTATTTATTCAACGCTATTCCTTATTGTGGCGCAGTAACTGATAAAGATCGTAATGAATCAGTGCCATCTTATTATGTCAGAAAATTGTCAGAACCAATTTACAATACAGGTAGAAATATAACGTGTGATAGATGGTTCACATCCATTCCCATATGTGACAAATTATTAGATGAATACAATTTAACAATGGTTGGGACAATTAATAAAAATAAACCAGAAATTCCAGCTTCGTTTAAAATTGTAAAACCCCAAGATGATAAAATCCGGTTCGCATATAATGATAAGAAAATTCTTGTTTCGTTTAATCCTAAAGGCAAAAAGATTGTATTATTATTGTCTTCATATCATCATAGTGCTAGAATCGATTCAGACACTGGAAAGCCAGAAATTGTAACATTTTTTAATAAGACAAAAGGAGGAACTGATAGTTTCGATAAAAAATGCCATGATTTTACGACTGCTCGAAAAACCCTGAGATGGCCAATGCGCTATTTTTATGGAATGCTGGACCAAGCTAATGTGAATTCTTTCATTATTTATAATTTAATAAGTAGTAATAAAACGATAACTCGGAATGATTATATTTTAGATCTATCTTTATCTCTTATTAAGCCATTTTTGATAAGAAGACTTCAACTGCCTACTTTACAAACGACATTACGCTCACAAATAGAAGCTGTCCTAGATTATAAAGATTTACCTGAAACAGAAGACCCTAGAGATTTGATAGCTGACAATAAACTAGAAATATTCCAATGTGTAAAGAACATACAGCCAAAATTTGTGAAAAATGTAGCTTGAAGTTATATTCTTACAAGATAATTTTTTCTTTATGACAATTCTATGGATATATTCTTAATCTACACTGTCTAAGCTTTAAAATGAAAAAAAAAAACAATTTGATCGAAAGATACGCGGGTATGGCATACCCACTGCTTCTGGATCGCGCAGCAGCGATAGTGCTTCTCTTGAGGGTTAATTATAGTGCATGGTATTAGAATTTAGACCATTGTAGAGAAACACCGTTTTTTTTTATTTGTTAAAACCCCTAGACCTGGCAGCACTTATATAATTATTGTATAATACAGATAATACATATCATGGATATTATGTGTAATTTGATAAAATAAGAAACTTGTATCTCATTTAACGTCATCATATTATAGTTATAATATATGTCTAAAAAAATATAGCAACATAAACATTGGTTTGCCAATTTAGATACAACAGTCAAAAATATTTAGTTATAAAGTAAGAATTAATTGCAATTATTGTACGAGACGCAATAACTTTATGAGACTGTATAAGGCATTAACACTTTAGAAATAAGACTAACAATGACTTGGGAGTATAATTTGACCATCACACCACAAACATTAATAATATACTGTACGAATTGAAAATGGGAAAATATAATACATATGGATATTAAACTGCAACTTCTAATCCATTATCGATACAAAAAAATGTTCAGGAAACTGATAGACATGAAAAAGAAATACAGGAAACAAATAGACCAGAAGCAACACAAGACGAAACAGAACACTTGGCTATACTAAACTTAGTTGACTATGTCAGTGATGAATTACATCTTATGTTTGTTTATTATTTTAAGACATTTTTTTTTTTACTTACTTTAACATTTACAATAATCATGATAATGATTTTATTAGTTATAAAAATACACGTGGTATGATATTTCTGATCAAATGTTTTGATACTCTGAATGTATGAATCTCCATTTGCAAAATACCATAAAGTAATAGCCAGCGTCGTTCGGTGAAACTGGTTGACAAATATTTGTTTTTCTTTTGGTTATTAATGAATCAATCATTTACAGAAGATGTCAAAAAAAAATTACTTCGACATTCTCATAAAGTTAATAAATTATCCATCTGCCATACCGAGATCACTCATCAAATTTTCTCTTTGCAAAAGATAGTTTGGCGCTCACCACCTTTTTTTCTTTGAAAATTTTAATGATAGAATATAGGCGGCCAATGTCATTGATAGTCCAGAATGACTTAGTACGTTGGAATAAATAAAAAATTTGAATAAACAAAAAGGATGACTTAGTTTGAAAATATCCACCTCTCACTGACATTAGTATTTAATTAATGTACATGTTTAGTAACAAATAAGTTACAATTTAGCCCAATTTGAAAAAGCTATGGACGACAGATTCAGTATTATCTACAAAAACTAAAGCCGATTGGTATAACTACTGCGAAGAAGCTATAGTTGTTTGAGTTGAAGCATGACGAGGAGCGAAGTAAAATTGGTGGACCTAGAAAAGTTGTTCAAATCAATGACTCAAATTTTATAAAAGCAGATACAATAGACAGACACATAGAAGCACATTGGGTCCTAGGAATGATAGAAAACGGTAGTGATGACTTAGAAAAATGTCCCAACAATGAGTGATCCGCTGATATACTGGTGCCACTAAGTAAGAAACATGTTCGGGAAGGCTCCATTATCCATCCTGATTTCTGGAATGCATATGAGTGCCTTGCTGATAGTGGATATATACATAATAAGTGCAACCATGCAGATCCTGATAACAGATTTGTGGCACCAGACGGGACACACAACAGATAGAAAGCCATTGGAGAAGACTTATTAAGACCCCTTTAAAGAATTGTTAAAACTTTTATAAGTGCATAAAGTAGAATAAACAAAATTATTTTGTAAAATTGTTTGTTTTATTCCTTTTTATGTAGAGATAACTTAGATATAAAGTATTCCCATATTTTTATTGGTCTATGATAAAACTATAAAAATAAAGGTTTATATACAAATTAGATTAAATATTCAATTTTATTTCCATACAGAAAAGCTTTATCAATATAGGTTTCATTAGATCTGAAATTTGAGTTAGAACCCATGTAACAATGCCTCCACTTATATTCAACAATTTTAGTTGCCTCACTATTAAGTTATATTTTTTCAATATACCATGTGTTATCGAGTATTCAAATCCTACACAACGATTTTTGCCTTACCATCTAGATTGGCTATGGAAGATATATAACAAATATGCAATTCACATCTCTCAAAAAGAAACGGATACTCAAAAAAAAACTGAATATACAATTCGACTGAACAATACCTTCATTTACATTCTTATAGTTCGTCAAATTGTTTTCATAGCTTCACCAAAAGCAGAAGTTTAGGTGATTTCACAACTTCCTTGGTTGACATTTTTAACACATGTAGTATTTTGACCAAAACCAAACTATTGTTCATATTTAATAATAAGCATTCTATATATGACTCATTAATACCCCGTAAGTACTAACATAATAGTATAAGAAGCATACTGCATATAAAAATTAATACAATAAAGAAACAAAATAATAATTGTTTTAAAACTTTAGCTCAATACACATACAACTACAAAATGGACGATACGAACGCGGAACGACGACGATTAGGTACCTAGTGTTATTTCCTTCTTAATTATATAAAATGTCTGATCGATAAAAACATCGGGTGGGCTTTTCGACACTATTGTCTATTATTAATATTAAACAACCTAAGAAATCACTAAGTGGAGTGTAAAATACTAAACACCTTTGCACAGAAATTTCGAGAAAGCACCAGTTTCCAAAGTAATGAAGTCAACGAAAATATACTTGAATATCTTTCACCCATTTTCAGCTGTAGATTATAAAACAAAATATCCTATACAAAATGCGATATTTAGAATAAATATTCGTTTATACTTTATATTTTCAATACAAGAATTATAACAACGTTTTTGAGGACTGACAAAATTAAAACGGAAGTCGTGCTCGTTGGGCGTTAGATCTCACAAGTCACAGATTACATATATTTTTTATAGTTGCTCTCCTGTATTTTCTGCTTCAAAGATCACAGATAACATAATTATATTTTTTTGTCTATGGATAATGGGATATTAAAAAGCCGTCATGTCGGCAACGCATCTTTAATTTTAATTAAACCTTTATTATGTAACGAATATTATATAACGATATTATTTCAAATATATTTCATTTATTTAAGCATTATTTTTTATTACTATTCATTTAAAAAAAAAAATCTTGAACGTCACCTGTAAATGTAATAGTTTTGCTATTAGATACAAGATGGTACTGACGTATTATATAGACTGAAGCTGCTATAACGGTTAATAGATGGCGCTAGTAATAAACCTAAGCATGGTCTTATAATCTCTTCACGAACAAAGAAAAATTAGTTTGAATAAATGTCAATAGATAGCGTTATATGTATCGATTTGTCATTAAAGTTGTGTTAAATAAAAAAAAAAGACAAGAAAGATCCCAAAAACAAAACAATCCGCTCGTAAATCAAATTTGCGAAATTTTACTGATTATTGAAATATCAGCAATCAGATGATGAGTTTTTAGTCATTAGTGTATATTCACAGATGGCGCTTTTACTTTGTGAGTTAAAAAAATAACACAGTAAAAAAGAAAATTACAAATATACTTAATTATATATACAAAACATATGTACACTTAGTTATTACTGTACAAGTCATATCCGCGTGGAATAGTGGCAAGAATGCTAGCCGCATTCCCCCGTTGAATGGCAATGCCGATTTTTTGGGCGAAAAATGCGCCAGGCCTCATGTCACCAGTAGAGGTGATAAGACGGGGTGTTATGTCTTTTAAGAAGAGCTTAGCACTTTGACTCCATGGGCCAAGGGTTTCTACAGCAAATGGAATAAAAACATAATTTTGACTAAGGGGGGTGTATTTACGCAACTTAAGTAGTTCAGCCTTCGCCGCCGCAGCTCCCACTTTAGACGCGGTCTCCCTGACATGGGACGGGGCCAATGTGTCAACGCATGTAGCGTCCCACAATAGGGCCCGTCCCCTTTCCCAAGGAACCAGCGACATGCCATCAGGTCCCTTACCATCATCTCGACTTATTTCAGATGGCTCAATAAGAGCAGGCATGTCAATGGTGGCCAGAGCCCTTTTGATGGTATCGTTTAGGGAACCATGATGGAAAAGTCTCCCTGAACTTCTTTTGCAAGAGAGTCCATGGAGTCCATAACAGTCACAGTTAATTATGAATATAAAAAGTCCGACTGCATAAAAGCTAACTAAATATTTTTTATAATATATTTTATTTATTTACAGCTTATTAAGTAGGTATTTTTAAGTAGGAAAATTAGCGAAAATGGTTGTTAACCAACTTTAAATCATTATAATATATCCTAAACTGTTATTTAAAATGAAAAATGATTTTTAAATACCTATTCAACGATACCCCACTTGGCATAGTTTGTCGATTTTCATTTTTTTCTTTTTCACATTATGAAATCTGGCAACCCCCATATTTATTTATTTTTATGTCACCAATCTAAAAACTCTTGGACTAATGAGACAAATTTAATGATACCTTAGTTTAAAAAAATCCATCTAGTGGTTTGGAAGATATTAGGGAAAAAACGAGGGGTGTTTCACCACCGTATCTCGGAGAGCACGTAAAGCCGTCGGTCCTGCGCCTTAACTCTTACCGGTCGTGTCGAGCGGTCGTCCCACCGGAGTATGAGAGTGACAGGAATAGAGAGTGCACGTTGTGTCTGCGCGTACACTTGAGCACTATAATATCTCCTGCGCAGTTGGCTAGTCTCAATGAGATTGGCCGCCGTAGCCGGAATCGGTCAGGAGAACATTATCATTATTGTTTTCTGTAGTTTTATGAAGAATTAGCACTGCCCGCGGCTCCGCCCGCGTTCACATGACCGAAAACCAAATTCTTTGGTTTTACTTATTAGTATACTCTCTTATTGCAGTTTTTGTATTTTTTTTCTCAGAAATGAGATATTTTCCCGCGGTAAAAAGTATCCTATATGTTGACCCGGATAACCAGCTATCACCATACCAAATTTCATCAAAATCCCTCCAGCGGTTTTTCTGTGATGTGATAAAAGACAGACAGTCAGTCAGACAGACAGACAAAAATTCAACAACTACAGATTCGGCCTTCTGTATCGATAATAATATCTATTTCAATAAAATTTTCCAAAAGATATTTAATGTACAAATTCGGCTTAGTTTCAATTATTCAAATTTAGTTCAAATAATATCATCATTATAAATACTCGATATTTTCATATTTATATACAAGGTTTGTTCCTCGCAAGTGAAAATATCAGACCCGGGATTTGAACCCGCTTCACTCGGTTTCTCAAGCGAGCGCGTTACCACTGGGCTATCACTGCCTTATATATCTATATAAAGGATACCTCGAAGTTTTATTAGTGTCATCCTACATTAATAAGATTTTTTTTTATTGAGAGGAAAATAAAAATGCATATTTCAAATTTCCATTAAACCTGTTTATGTGAACAACTTACTCGATTATTACAAATAAATCGAAAGAGCATCTATGGCTTATTGATTATTCTATTAAAATAAATATCACAAATATAATTAAATATGTACAGAAAAAGATATTAAAATAAAAAAAAATACAAGTATTTATAAAACTAAAACTTATTTCGATATCATATTGTAGATAATTGGAAACAAAAGTACGGTTAAATAGTCCATTTTAGATAAGTTGATTCAAGTTGGTTTTTAACCCCCGACGCAAAAAGAGGGGTGTTATAAGTTTGACGTCGATGTCTGTCTTTGTGTGTGTGTCTGTCTGTGGCATCGTAGCTATCTAACGGATGGACCGATTTCGATGCGGTTTTTTTCATTTGCCAAGCCAGTTTCCTTGCAGTGGTTCTTAGCTATGTTTGGTTAATATCGGTCCAGCAGTGTAAGAGTATCAGCCCTTTTCCAAAATGATGAAAGGCATTTTGGCGTATGATTACTCGATTAAGTGCTTCACGCGTGCCAGTGTAATCGTTAAATGACAATTAGGTAATTTGCGTCGTGGGTTTTAAAAAATTTTAATTTTTTGGCCATGCTTTTGTAATACAATATTCCAGTGTTGAGCTAAAATAATAAGAAAAACAGAGCTTACAGAACACAGTAATTACAACGTAGTGATTGAATATTTTTTTTTTATAATCTTTATTGTTTTTCAATTAAGCGTATACCAATATTTTTTACGTAACTTTCTTTTATCAAGAAAATATTTATTAAAAAGTGCAAATATAGGTCGAAAATTCAAAGCAGTTGAAAAGCCATTGCATAAAAAATATTTAAAAAAAAAATCATGCACATTCGCTTCTCCATTCAGAAGCATTAGATATTATAAAAAAAAATATTTCACCTTTATTTAAATCACACGCATATTCCCTATTAATATTATGTGTATTTATAAAAAATATACATTAATAAGTATATCACTAAAAATCCCACGTGAATCACTTTTTATACAATTTCCGAGCGATTTAAAGAAAAAAAATAAACTGTCATTATTAATTCAACTCATTTGACAGATGTTGTATACATTTGACATTATATAAATGTTATGACAAGATGGCGGATCTTGAATCAACTTGAGACGAATAAACTTTAATATTATGGAGGGTAGAGGTGAGGAGAAGAGATAGTTTGTGTCCAGCTGTGTGCTGAAAATAATAGGAGCCTCTACCGTCCGTAAAGAATACTAAGCGTTGTCCGTATGTATTTCTTTATATTTAAATGTATTATTTTAAATTTATTTATATACATTTTACATATACATATTACACTATTATTGTCACTAACTTGATATTTTGGCTTATTTCTACTGTTTTTTTTTTTTAATTAAAAAGAAAAAAGTTTAAGCCCGGACAGCTGTCAATATTTTATTATCTATACACGATTATAGATTATAAATTGGAAATAAATTAATGATATTATTTATTTATAAATTAAAATAACAATTATTTACAATATTTACAATTATATCTAATGATAATTATACTTTAGCAATAGCGAATTTTAGAGATATTTCTTTTATTTGCGATATTTTTCTAAAGGATTTTAAATATTTATTAATATATTATTATTATTATATTATGTATAGCTGTGCCCCACGGTTTCATCCGCGTTTTTGATTGATTAAAAACATCACTTTTACAATAATGTATGTAAGTCTGCCCGATTTGTTGACATTTATGATTACTACTCCGCTCCCTTGGGTAGTAGCATGATGTTATATAGCCTTGTAATTTTTGGCAAATTTTAGTAAAAACAAAAGTAGATTCAAAAAGAATTATCTAAACTTTAAGTAAAATTAAACATCAATACTAAATAGATTAAATTAAAAAATATGAATTATAATTTCTAGAAACAATATCCATTTTGTTAAAATAGGATATTTTCGCAACCGAATAACTTAGTCTTAGGTCATCTTTGACGAGTCAATCTGACAGCTGCTTTCTTTTTTTTATTTTTTTTTAACGTAAATGCACTGTTATGATGAGCCATATTGAAATTAAGATTTCACAAAAAAAAACCTCTAATATTCGCTATTTATTAATCATTTATAACTTACAATAATTTGGCACTTAATTATAAATTAATTTTATGATATCTAATATGCTGAATAACTAGATACTTTTGCCTTTTAAATATAAGCAACTTTGAAATTCATTATATTTTTATGTCATTCCTTTTGTATTATGTAAGTAATGTTGTAAGTACAAAGATAAAAGACGTTATATTTTAACAAAAGAATTAAATATATCTTTTGTAATAAAAAAAACAGTAAAATATATATTAAACATTATATATTTGAAAAAAATCTAATATTTTTAAAATCCACAACTTTGTTCTATTAGAAATATCCATTCATATTCTCCTTTTTACTCACGACATATCCACGTTGAAACTTATATCGTCTATCAAATTCTCTATGACTTGGAAAAAAAATTGAAAACCATAAACAAATGTATCGTCCGTCCTATAAAAAAAAACATAAATCAATGCACAAATTCATTAACCGATCCGCCATGATGAAATTGCTGAGTATTATCTACAATAACGCTAGTATAACCATCTTGTACTGGAGGTGTCATTTTACCAAAATTCCCGCCAAAACTGCTGTCAACCGGACGGCCATTTTGATTTGGATTGTAAAAAGAAATTAAATTCGTATAATTATATTGATTTATTTCTGAACTCTCTATCGAGCTACATGAAGAAGAACTAGCTGAGAAAGGCCTTTGGTTTTGGGGATACGCATAATTATTCGGAACTACCTCAGGTTCTGTATAATTTTCATAGAAAAGCTCTTGGTAGCCATTTTGTTGGTACTCGTCATGGTTTTCATAGTGAGGTATTACGGGACATGTGTATTCTGGGTAATTATAGCTTGAATCGGTGCTGAATTCTTCGTTTATTATGTTATTTATTTTGTCTGTCTGTCTGTGCATTTGGGGGGATGTTGTTGGGGGTTGGGAGACATCTATGCTGTTTAATTTTGGGGGTCCTTGATCTATGTTTAGTATTAGGTGTTTTTCTTCGATGTCGCTGAAATAAAATGTATAAATTAATATTTCATTTATAAATAATAAAATTAGGTATTATTAGTAATGTTTGTATTTAGTATTTGAAAATGAAAAATGCTTATAGCATTTTGAGATTTGTCTGATATTTTGGTTAGGTTTTTCAATAAGATTGAAAGCTTATAGAATCAAACAAAAATTTCAATCACCGCTGGTTATATGAAAATAAGGCGTCTATCTGTTTGTTGTTGTTACTATATACCGCTAAACGGCTAAACGGACGGACAGATTTAAATGAAATTTAGCACACAGATAGAGATCTGAAGTAACACATAAGCTGCTATAGACATCTAAAGCCTCACCTGAGCTAAGCAAGGGTAAATCGATAGGTTAAGTAAATATATTTGATATACAAAAACTAAAGATATACAATTAGCGTATCAAAAGTGTCCTCAAAGAGAAGCGCGCAATTCGATATTATGTGTTTTTTTTTCAAATCTTTTTCATTGCTTTTCGGATGACAAAATTAAAACGCACGTTGTTTCGTTTAAAAAACTACTTTATGTGGTGTGCGTAAGTTCGAATTTGTGTTTACATTAGAACTTTCGATTTTTGAATTTCATTCTTTATTTTGACTTAACGTCACATGACGACGCCATTTTATGAAGAGATATTTGTTAGGAAATGTGTATCTATGTCTTTATATATCAATGGTAAATAAATAAATAAATATGTTGGGACATTAGCACACAGCACCATCTAGTTCCATAGTAAGCTACGAGGCCTGTGTTATTGATACCAGATTGTTGATACACTACACATATATAACTTCAAATACACACATATTATAAATATAAACACCCATGACTGGAGTACAAACATTCGTGCTCATCACACAAACGAATGCCCCCGGCAAGACTCGAACCCGCGACCGCTGACACAACAAGTAGGGTCACTACACACTGAGCCAAACGTGTCGTCAGACATATTTAAATTTAATCAAACCTAAGAATAAACTTGAATTTCAAATTTCAAACTTACCTAAGAACATAATTGACAGATACAATACAGTGTGGTCGGGACGACCGTGAATTGTGGACTATGGTCGCGTAGCTCTGCATCCACACCCACCCACCGGATTTTGTTAGAAAACGGTAATATCTAGACGTTACCTGCCCTTTGGTTAGCACTGGAAATGAGATTTTTTTAATACAGCAAAAGATTTTTGTTTTTTAAATTTCGCGATTATTTGGTATATCAAAGTATCACAATCAGCGACAAAAAATGTCCTCGCCGAATGAGCGCTCGCTTGTACATTTGAGCGCGCTTTTAATTTTTTTTTGTGAAAACAACTTTAAGTATTGTATTTAAGGTTCAATATACTGAGGTTCAATATACATTGTTGTATATTTATTTCAACTACAATAATTATTACCTAAACACAATTGGTGACAGTTTTAAAAGAACTTTTGAATGGAGTTGTGTATCTAGTGCTTTTTTTATCGATGACTATAACGGACTTTTTGACGGTTTTCTTTATTAAAAAAAAAAGAAAAAACAAAAACAAAAAAAATATATTTCAAAATATAATATATGTAAGTATATAATAGTAAGGCCAATGATTTCTTTTTCATTCTAGCAATTTATTGTATAATTGTGTTAGATGTTATCTAACTTGCCATACTTTTAAGACATCAAAAATCTTAAGGGAGACTGATGGTCAAGTTTGTTCTAAGTCATAGGTATGTTTAAAAAAATTATTTCTAAAATTCTTTTTTTTTTAAATAACACTATCTTTTCGGATTTGTTCGTGGATTTATTTTGATTTTTGGTTCCCGGCTTTTTGAATGCTTTACAGCGCACATGGTCACGGGAGAGACTAAGGTTATAGACGTCTCAAACACATACTTGTTACAGACAGTGCCTACCCACTATTTTACAAAATCCAAAAAAAAATCCAAAAATGCCACCAAAGTACCTTACAATATTTGTTGATTTAAATTCTAAGCATTTTAAATTTTTGAATAAGTATTATAATTAACACGTTCACTGCGGTTCACCCACAATCGGCCCGAAGCGGTACCAAATCAATGTGCGCACAGGAAAAATAGGTCTCTCTCGCTTGTGCGGAACCTGTTTCCTGGGAATTTCTACGAGTATGACAGGGACAAATATAGTTTTCGATTTGCTACTAATAATGTAGAAATATAGCAATTTAATAACGCGGCAGGCCTTTCTCGACCTCCGCCGCATAGAACATAAAAAAAGTGCATCTCAGTGCGGGGGCCTGTTTTGGTGCATCACCACTCGCGGCCTGTTGCCGCACTGTACAGATGCGTACACGTCGAACCGCCAGTAGTGTTGTGCTTGCTACGGGAGGAGGACACGCGTTCGCTCGTCGGTTTCGTGCAAACTTCGTTACAATGAATGGCGCATCGGAAAAACAAAAAATAATACTAGAAAATGATAGTGATACCGAATAAAAATACGTTGGTTCAAATTTTGAACTTCCCAAAACGAAATAAATACAGAAAAATAGTTAAAAAACAAGAAAAAATTGTGCAAGGTGCTACGAAAAGCTAAGGCTGACATTGACTTCCTCAGAAGTAAAAAAGAAAGTAAAAACAATTAAAACGGTCTGTTTCAAGTGTAATCAGTCTCTTTGCATAACATGTAACAAAGATAGGCATATCTAAATAAATTTTTGTTAAGATTTTTTTTTGCTAATATTTAATTTTGATATATCTTAATTATTATTATTTTTGGCTTTTGTGTAATTAACACATTAATAGGGCTTGGCTTGTGTTTATAAAAATGAATACAATTAATGACTCGATATTTTCTTTTCTTTCACTATCCCATCACTACAAAAATTACACTTTAGTGCGGTATCGGGCCTTATCGACCTGACATTTTCGATTAGTAATTTCTCATTTTCTGTTTGGAGGATCCAGGTGCGGGGCCAATGTATAGACAAGTGATTCATGAGGATTTTAAAAGTATAAAAATTTGTAATGTACAATGCGCTTTGACTAAGATAATAGAGGTAAGATACCACCCGGAGGTCTCGGGTCGAAAGTGCTTACCACGCACATGAAGAAAGTCAAGTGGGTGCATTTTTGGACTGCCACCGCACCAGCTGAATGTCACTATTTTTGTTTACGCAGTGAACGTGTTAAAAATAGCAATATTATTTAATTTTAACTGTTATTATTATAAATATTATATTTTTATCATTCAGTGTAGGTATTATTATAATATGTATAACTTTAAATTAAAAAAATAATAATTAAACGTATAAAAATTATAAGGATATTGCAAATAAATTTCACACATTTTTTTTTTTAATTTCTGTCCATTTATTAACTATACATTCGCATCACTTGTTCAGCCTCATGTAAAGTTAGACAAGAGTTTCTTTTGGAAAAAATACTTTTTGAGTATAAAACATAATTTTACTATAATTTAAATAACTTAGTACTATCACATTAATATTATAAATGCGAAAGTTTAGATGAATGTTTGTTACTCAATCACGCCATAACGGCGGAACTGATTTGGATGGAATTTGGCACAGATATAGATCATAATCAGGAATAGCACATAAGCTACTTTTATCCCGGTAAAATGTGCGGTTCCCGTGGGATAGATTTATTTTTGTTTTTCACATAATTATTACTTACGTGTACAATGCGAATATCGCATATGCAATACGTCAGTTCCATGTATATAGTGGTATAATGTTTTTTCTATTAAGTCCTGAGGTTCGTAGCCTGTGAGAGACGCCACTCTGTAACAAAATATTCAATTATAAATACTTTCTTAGATTCATGCGAATATTTTACATTTTAAAATTAAACTATCTTTTCGGATTTTTTCGCGGATTTATTTTGATTTTTGATTCCCGACATCTCGAGGAAGACGAGGGACTCGGCGACGAGTTTCTCTCCCGTGATCATGGTTGCTGTAAAGCATTCGAAACGTCGGGAAATAGAAATCAAAATAAATCCCCGAAAAGATACTTTTATATTTATTGTAAGTATATTCAATTTATATATAAATATGCAATGTTAGACCTAATAGTTCAGTCCTATAAGAAAGCTTGGCAATGCTGCCAACTTTATAGTTTAAAAACCGGTCTGTAAATAAAAAGAAATTATACTGCGTAAGAATATAACAACGTAGCTGTCTTGTAAATCAAAATAGTAGCGTAAAAGAATTGTAACTGCAATCGGAATCCATACTTAATATTATAAATGTGAAAGTGTTTGTTTGGTTGTTTGTTTGTTTGTTTGTATGTTTGTTTGTCCTTCTTTCAAGTCGAAACAGAGTGACGGAATAACGTGATTTTTTGCGTGAAGATAGTTGGAGGGCTGGAGAGTGACATAGGCTACTTTTTACCTCGGGAGATCATTTTATTCCCACTGGAAAACACGTTATAATATAAATAAATAAAAAAATGTGATCAGAATTACTTGGAACTTGGCATTAATACTCTTCAATACAATTAAATAATAGCGTGTTTTAGCATTTTTTAAATTCATCCCATAAAGGGTTAAAATACTAGATGAAACTTTGTATGAAACCTACCTTTTTAGAGTTTGTTTTTTATAGTTGTAGTCCGAGCGAAGCCGCGGGTTCTGCTAGTATTATATATGAATAGAATTTAAGATATTTACGTAATAACGCCACCGCTGTAGATTGGCGGCACTTAAAATTCGCCAAATCTGTAGCTTCGGTAGCGTATTATTTTAAGGACATTAGCTTGTATTGGAATATTCAAAAAATATATTATACGCCACCGCAGCTGCAGATTTGGCGGGTTTAAGTGCCGCCAATCTACGTAAGTACCGAATTTACCTTGACGACACGTTTGGCTCAGTTTGTAGTGACCCTACTTACTGTAACAGGGTCCGCGGGTTCGAGTTCCGCTGGGGACATTCCTTTGTGTGATGAGCACGAATATTTGTACTCCAGTCATGGGTGTTTATATTTATAATTTATATGTGTTTAAAGTTATATATGTGTAGTGTATCAACTATCTGGTATCCATAACACAAGCCTCGTAGCTTACTATGGAACTAGATGGTGCTGTGTGTTAATGTCCCAATATATATTACCTATGTAAATAAAAAAAAAACTGTTTCCAATTTTTTTAATAACACGAAAGCTCGCCTAAAGCAAACAATCAAAGAAAACCGGTTGACAAACCGAGGAGCAAAAGGCGTAGCACTGATTTGTTGTTGCCTATTTATATATCAGGTATATATATTAAAGCTAATTTTATTTACTTACTTTTATTCGATACCTACTCGTATAATCTGTATAAATAATAAATATTATAAATCTGAAAGTTTGTGAGTACGGATGTTTATTACTCTTTCACGCCAGAACGGCTGAACGGATCTGGATGAACTTTGACACAGAGATAGATTATAGTCTGGAATAACACATAGGCTAATTTTAATCCCAAAAAAAATTGTTTTTCTACAGGCGAGCGACGCGTGGGTGAGCCGCTAGTGTAACAAAACAAAAAAACTCTATACTAACTATTATACGTTTATCGTACATATAACTAGGAATTCAATTATTCATTTCAAAAAAATCCTTCACGTTTTAGTCTATGGTAAAATATACATGCATACATACATATATAAATACTTGAAAATCATTACCCCCCTTCAGAACAGTCGGGTAAAAAACAATCAAGCATATGCCCCTAATTCCCCCTCGAATATAAAGAGCACTTATTTTCATGTCATGCGAAAAAAGTGTTGACACAAAAACGTGATAGCTTCCGCCAATTAGCACCCCATTTGATCTCAAATTGTATAGAAAAATATCGAATAATGCTTAAAAAGTGCCCTTTGATTTAACAAGCCGCTTCCTGTGGCTCTCTTTTTAATTTTTGAAATGAAACTTCTTTAGAATCGTTGTGATTTGAAACTCGATGAAACCAACGACACTATGTATGTATGTATTCAGCCCTTTTTAACGTCCCACTGCTGGGCGTGGGCCTCCCTTCAATACGTCGAGATCAGGCCATAGTCCACCACGCTGGCCAAGTGCGGGCGGACTGAGTATGTCTTTTGAAAACTTGCTAAGCTCAGACATGCAGATTTCCTCACGATGTTTTCCTTCACCATAAGGCAAGTGGTAATCACGTTAAAAATGAATCACACCAACCAACCAACCGACTTTACAGAAAACCAATTTTTTATCAATATATTTTAAGTTAATTGTTTTTTAATAATAACTAAGCATAAATCTCAAACAAAGGAAATCTGTAGGTATGTCTGAGAGAATCTACCAAGTTTTCAAGACATGTGAAATCTGCTGACCCACACTTGGCTAGCGTGGTGATCAAGGGAGGCCCACCCCCAGCAGTGGGACATTAAAAAGGGGTGAATATAATCTATACATATAATAAAATTGTAACTGAGTCGAATCTGTACAATAAATATTTTTTGTGGAAATTTTATTGAAATAGATATTATAAACTATACAGAGGCCAAATCTATAGTTTTTAGAATTTTTGTCTGTCTGTCTGTCTGTCTGTTACCGCATCACGGAAAAACCACTGGAGGGATTTTGATGAAATTTGGTATGGTGATAGTTGGTTATCCGGGTCAACATATAGGATACTTTTTACCCCGGGTAAATGTCTCATCTCTGAGAAAAAATACAAAAACTGCAGTGTAAGAGTATACTAATATGTAAAACCTAAGAATTTGGTTTTTGGTCATCTGAACGCGGGCGGAGCCGCGGGCAATACTAGTAATAGAATATGCTTTAATTCTCAATTATTACACGCATATATACATATGACCTTGCAATCACAGCAAAAAATAAGCAACTCACTCAAATCATTATAAAATATTTAGTTGAAATTTAGCAAAATAAACAAAAAAAAATTATGTACACGGAAGTTGTAAAAAGTTTTTATCACGTTCACGTCTTTTATAGTAAAATATACTTTCAGGTAACATTTTTAGAGCACATTTTTGTTTTCTGGAATAAATTTCTATTGAAACGACCGTAGTGGTACAGTTGTACGTTATTGAGATAGCCTATTATTATAGGTCTAGAATTCGATACTTGTAGCGAATGTATACTATACTAGCGGACCCGACAGACGCTGTCCTGTCTACACGTCTTTAATTTGAAAATTTCAAACTTTTTTTAATAAGCTAAAACATTCTGGACCATTTTGATGAAAATTATTATTCAAATTGTGAATCTAAACCATTCCCAGATCCCCTTGAACACACACAAAAAATTTCATCAAAATCGGTCCAGTCGTTTGAGAGAAGTTCAGTGACATACACACTCACAGAAGAATTATATATATAAAGATAGACATTTGTAAATTGAATTTTTGCTAGTGATATATAATAACAATGTCTTTCCATTAAGACTGGCCTGACTGCGCAAGAGATATAGTGCACAAGTGTACGCGCAGACAACGTGCACTCTCTATTCCTGTCACTCTCATACTCCGGTGGGACGACGCGAGACATGACCAGTAAGAGTTAAGGCGCAGGACCGACGGCTTTACGTGCTCTCGGAGACACGGGCGTGAAACATCGAAAATTTCCTAACTCCTGGCTCCTGGCTGTTATTGAGAATTTCTAGTTAGAAATCTATACTTCTATACTAATAGCTATAGTAATATTATATATGTGAAAGTTTGTGAGTATGGATGTATGTTTGTTACTCTTTCACGTAAAAACGACTGAATGGATTTTGATGAAACTTTACAATAATATAGCTCATACAACAGAATAACACATAGACAACTTTTTATCTCGGAAAAATGTACGTTTCCCGTGGGATAGATTTATTCTAGAGCGAACCTGAGCGAAGCGAGGGTGAGCCGCTAGTACTCAATAACTGAAAGTAGCCCGACCCGGGACTCGATCCCAAGATCTTCGTATCAGCGGCCGTACACGCTAGCCACAGACCACCGAGGCAGTAATATAAAACACGCAAAACTGCTTATCAGCACTAGTTTATATATAATCTTTGTTCATGCATTACCATATAAAGTACAAATCTATCCCTATATCGCTCAATCTTGCCATACATTTTGTAGGTGTCGTCTTTCAAACATCTGGTCACCAGGTGTTATTTTGTAATCGAATATTGTTTTTATTCTAAGTATTTTATATCTGTATCTACGAGTATGTTTGATTGTAAGGTCATCATTGGTCTAGTGGCTAGCGTGTACGGTTAAAGATCTTGAGGTCTTGGGTTCGATTCTCGAAGAAAGGTATAGTTATTGAGCTTTTCTGTCAAGAAATTGTCAAATACGTCTTATTGGAAATCTATTGATGGTTTTATACAAAAGCTCGCGATTCTTTTTTTATCTATACTAATATTACAGATCCGAAACTACTGAACCGATTTAGATGAAATTTGGCAAGATGATAGTTTGAGACCCTGGAAAGGATCTTGGATAGTTTTATCGCGGAAATGATCCCATAAGGGGGTGAAAATAGGGATGAATATTTGTATGGGGAATAAAGCTAGGGACTGTCCCAGGCTAAACGAGGGTGAGTCGCTAGTTTAAATTTAAGTATAAGAGAATAAATTTAAAAAATATATATTATCGAGCTAATAAATTATTTGTTTTTTTTTAATAAATAAGCTTTTTGAATTTTTATCCCATTTATCCAAACCGATATTTTATAGAATATTTAAAAAAAAAACGATTTTTCGATTTAATAGTAGCTTTTTGGTACATGATAAAGGTAGAAAAAACAGACTATTACACTATAAAGTTTATAT